TCCCACAACACAAATCAAACACAACTGCTACACGTACCAAAAGCATAACCAGTGCTTAAACAGAGAAGTTTCAAGTCCAGCATTTAATGATTCTTATAATAATATTTTTATAATCAGAACATGGTTATCTTGTAATCAGCGGTAACATGTTTATATGAGTTGTTTCTTTATGAGATGTTGCTTAATCATATTAACAGACGTCTATAAAGCTGTAACTGGGATTTCAGAACTAACTATGTTGTCTTCATTGAAAATGACTAAAACTGTATTGATAATATAACTTTAGAAACCAGAAGAAAATATCAAAAATATATATAATTATAGCGAAGTTTCTATCAGTAAAAGTTTGATCTATTCAGTACGAACTCTTAAGATAACTCTCCGTCCTTCAACTAAGTCTCTTTCCTGGTCCCATATTATTAAGCATTGTAAAAAATCCAAAATAAAATATTATCACATGGTACACAATACTTGACAGCAACTTTAAAAAATGTTAATGAGATCTTTATAATACGAATCAAAGCAGACATAATTTTAGAGAAATCTTATCAAATCTCCATGTATGTATTACCTACATATATTCCTTTGACTATCCGTCATTTTACACTAATATCAGTTTTGATCCCATAAAACATGAATTGTTTAATTTTTTAAATATTTTTTAACTTCAAAAACCCAAAAAAATCAAAAAATCATTTTTTAGTAATTATTTTTAGATTCTGAATAACGAAACATCATAGCAAATTGAACACATGTTACAAAAATGGTGCCAAAATGTTCAATGATATAAATGTTCACACCGGTTTGGACATAAAATTGCATGAAAATAGCTTATAATCCGTTTATTTTCTTCAATGCACTATTCAAGGAAAAACTTAAAGTTCCAAAACTCTAATTTTTAAAACAATAGTGGTTTTTCTAATCAGATAGACAAGTTGTGTTATTTTCTGCAAGTTAATAGAATCCATTCATTTTTTGTTAATGTTATAATTTTAGAAAACATACCTTTGACCTGGACTAGAAGATTAAATTCTTTGAATTAAAATCAAGTATCAAACTTATGAAAATATAAATATTAACTAAAGACATATTGATAAATGGAAAATTGTGATTTTTTGAGAGTTTCAAAAGAAACCTGATTAAATATTTTATTTATTTATTTATTTATTTATTTTGATGCATTATAATTTTTCAGACTATAAAAAATTATTAGTTTGTGTTCATTTTGATTTAATTTGTTGTAAATATTGGAAATTGAAAAATAATTTGTATGAGAATAATCTAAATGTTGGATTCACACTAATAATTATGACTCCAAAAGTGTCAAATCTCAACAAATCTCTGAAAGTATATGAAGGTATGATGATGCTCTTTTAACTTTTTTATTTAAAATATTTTTTTATAACAAAATCACACATTAAATTTCATGAAGGTTGTAGAATAAAAAAAATCACTATTAAAAAACGAAAACTTTATATACATACATTCTAAAATTTCTACATCGTATATAATATTCAAAGAAATATAATCAGATACAAAATAAATGATCAGAACAGAAATTCAACACCAACTGCGGCAAATCTTTATGTTAGTACAGATTTGTCCGATGATCGAGTTCTATGAAACATATTCATTTGATCAACATTGAACTATCATTTACAAACTGGTATCGAGTTATTTAATAATAGTTGAAGAATGAATAACACATTAAAAAATAACTGTGATCAGTTATTTTCAGTTATTACATATATTTTATTCAATGTGATCAAATTTAATGACAATGATGTTCTTGATAAGGAAAGCCATTATTCCTTTCGGATATCTCATTGAAATCCATTTATAATATATATATAAATTATATATATATATATATATATATATATATATTTCTGTCTTTCTGGTGCTAAATGTAAATTTGGATATAAAATGTTATTCAATAGGAATAAAAATAGATTTACTTGATGTTGCTTTAATACTTGTGTTTACTTGATTATATGGAAGCATCATTTTTATTTTTTAACCACTATTTTACATATGATAATATAAATAAAATTATGCATATGATTAGTCATTAAAATGAATGGTGTTTGTACAATCTTTGCAACATCTAGCTGGCTACGTGTGAATTCTTGTTCTCTATACTTTCGATGCATAGTGATCGATTTTCTTAATCCAAGTGGTTCGGACTATCCCCTTAGCATATAATTATAACGGGGTTGCGTACAAAACCCCTGAAAGAATGAAAGGGTCTACCTACGCGTGTAGCCAGTTTCTGCACCAAAGAAGGCTGCACTGAGAGAGTTCGCTGAATTTCCATTGCATGTTCATTAGAGCCATGAGGTGGAATAAATAAATAAATATAGTACTTGATTTACTCAGTGTCGCAGTATGAGTAATGAGTTTGTTCTTGAGCATACATTTTGACTAAGCAGAAATTGGAATAGAAGCTACTGGAGTACGATCTTGAAGATTCTTCATGTTCTATGAAGCAATCGAGTGAATTTCAACGGCGTGAGAAAATTGAAATTATAGCTTGGACGATTTTACATACTGGGCGAATATATGTATATCATTGATAAAAATGTACATATACGGTGTCCGTGATCATCATGGCTGTCGATGATGATAGAATAATGCATAAATGATTTTTCCAAATGTCAGATATCTCCAGAAAGCACGCTAGGTAAGATCTTGGTCGTCCATCTTAAATCGGGAGAAGGGCAATATTCCACAAAATTGTGCCAGCCGTTAGATCCAAGCGTGAATTCATGGTGCATGAGAGGAGTGAAACTTTCGAGGATCGGTGAAAATATGCCTTGAGCTTGAATTCTATGAACATATTATATAAACTCCATAACTTACCTAATCATCATGAGTGTCCTAAACGATGATGAACACTGCAGCCATGATTTTCTACACAAATCATTTAGAAAAAAAGCTGTACTCGTTTATCTTTCGAACAACTGACATTAACATTTTTCATTTTTTTTCCTCGAAATGTCAACCTATGCTAAGTGGTAAAGTGGATGCCGCATACAAACCTATTGTGATGTAGAACTATGGATCACGTTTGCAAGAAGTGGCGTGCTCATCATAAGCACAAATGCTTTCATCATACGCCACTCATTTCTTCTTCAGGCTATTGCCAGAGTATCAAACGACACGCGCGCACTGAGAGGTATAAGATGTTGCATATTGAGACCATCGCAGCCAGGTCGGCTAATCTTCTCTTTTTTTACGCTGGTGTGCAACCTTTTTGTCAAACTCATGAATTCAAACCCAAGACACTCACTCTACTTTTGACATTGTGCAGCGATAGGGTCACTCATAGATGGACCTGGACAAAGTTGCTTCCCTTCGTGAAGATGGGCTGAATTTCGAAACAAATGTATAATCAATTCGAAGCCATGGATTTGTTTCGCCCCGTTGTTCTAGTTTAGTCTCGAGAATTAGTGAGACGCATTGGATGAAAATTGGTGTTTGCAGCAGGATGTTCAGAAAAAGTGTGTATAGTAAACGATGCTATGGCTGATACGAGCTCAAGCACAATGTGGATCAACAAGTCACGGGAGAATTGTGCTCGAAAAAATATTTTCTGAACCTGCGAATGGTATATCTCGGAGTAGAAAGGACTCGGAAGAGTGTCCTCGTGCCTATCAGTGAGGACATTATAAGTACAGTTGCAGGTCTCGAAACCCTACATTGAAGATCTGTGTAGGTTCCAGACTCCTCTCCTCGGTGGAGGAAACGTGCTAGACAAATTACAGGAGATGGAAGTGGGGTTTAATATATTGGAGGTGTCACTTTCGGCCTACGTAGTAAAGAACCAAGTGCAAATTCTTCTGGTTGCTTTTGTACAACGCCAAAAGTAGATGATTGGAGGGTATAGTTCAAAATGTGGCACTTTCTGCAAAAGAGAAGATTTTGAAAAGATCCAGTGGTTACATAGACCATACAAGTCTTGTCTCGAAAGAAAACTGTCGATTTCCGCTTACTTTCGTGGAGGCAAAAAGTGCCCAACGAGAAACACAATGGCCGTCGCGAGGCTGGATACTGAACCTCGAGTCCCCGGCGATTTGCATTCCGCTCTAGCAGCCTTTTGCCGATGATGTCTACTTCTAGAGGAGAAAAGCGGCCGAGGCCAAAATTTGTCAATGTCAAGCGAAATCAAGATTCAAGTTTGACGCGTGCGCTGCCCGTCTATAGTTTGGAGTTACATTTCACTTCGTAATTCGTGTATTTGTTGTTGTTGAAAGTCTTAAGTCAGGTGACAGCAAAAACGGAAGCAAGGAAGTAAGGAAAAAAGAAAGAGAGTGAAAGAGCGAAGGAACAAAACGCTCACGCACTATGGACTTTACTGCTGGTAGAGAGAATGGCCAAGATTTGGCAAGGACTTCAGGATCCAGGCGGATATGATGCATGATATTGTGAATTTAACTTTCCGGTAGTTTCAATAAAGTATGGCAATAGCAGGAGCGGACTTCCATGAAAGTGTTTGGCTATAAATAAACTTCTTTGACTTTGATATCAATCATATGTCCACTCATAAACCTCACGGCCTGAGTTGAGTTGCACGCAGCCGTGATTTGATTTGCTAGCTTGATGAACCGAAGTTGAACGCATGCCTTTGTTGTCAGCGCTCTACCGATTCAGTAATTTTTGGCCGCAGCAGCCCTCGGCCCTCACCACTTCCAGTCTTTTGTCAAACTCGACCGCCGGTTCCGTTCCCGTACTGATTCCACTGAACCTGTTGTATGTTTGAAAACGGTGCGCGGGTGGAAGAACCCAGAAGAAAGAGCTTTGCAGGTCTGGCTGGCTTGCTGGAGGGAGAGGAGACGAGGTGAGGCTGGTTGGGCTAGGACCCTAGGATGCTCTTAGGACATCATCTCAAGCTCATGATGATTGACCGCTAGCTACAATTCTGTAAAGTGGTGTGATTTTGCACACGATGATCATACAAAGGTGGCCGTGAGGCTGACTGAGGGTACATGAACGTGACGGACGATTCCATGGCATGATAGTTTGTCAAATTGCCCCGCGCAGCAGCAGCCCCCTAGCTGGAGAGATGTGTGAAATTCCCTCGTCGTAGACAGATAGTAGCAGTAATTACATTTGACACTTCCTTTTACATGAGAGACGAGGAAGCCACCTCATCACACCAGGCCAGATCTTAATAGTTTTGACGAGTTCTGTCCATGAACCATCGTTGCTTAAGCTTGCGAGGGTCCCACAGGTTCGTTTCCCCCTTCCGTCGAAACTGAAGGAACGAACGATGAACGACCATGGTCACAGGAACCCCAAAATGCGGATGGCAGACATATCGGAGATGCGCTTGAGCGAGGAGACCTTTTCCTTTCTATTATTTCTGGCAGAACCTTCGCGGGCGGGCGGGCAGCCGCTTTCTAAATTGGACATATCACAATCATCCCCCAGAAGTAAGTCAAGATTGTCAGTCAGTCAGTCAGTCACCAAGAAGAGTCTGATCTCTGGGTGTGTTGTTGTGATGATGAGCTCATTCATTCACGACATCACATTATCTCTCACCGGATGGGATGGGATTGCCCGACCTGCCCAGCCCCAATGCTCCCTTTGTCTTCCTTTAAAAGAAATCAGCTGTAATTAATACCGGTGGTAAACTATTGCTTAGATGAGGAAGTCGGATATTATAGGAGGAAGAGGGTAGCCGAGCCCTGGCCTGACCTGACCTGACCTGTAGTGTATTGCCAAAAGCTGCTGTTGGTGATCCAGAGAGCTGGTGCATGCATGCCCCAGATCGAAGCACTCGAGGCAAGGCAAGGCAAACGACTTTTTTCCTCACCTGATTTGAAACATACCTGATGGAAATTACATTTGATGAAGAACTCATGGGGGTAGAGATCTGTAAAGACCGTGGTCAGCCATTGTCCATGCTACCTATTCATCACAAGTTCTATATTCTGCTCACTTTTCACCTACCGGTACATGGCTGCCTCGCCTGCCCAGGTCGGATCGGGTAGGCTTCATATGTGGTCACAGTTCGGATCTTTCATGGACGAATGAATTAGCGAACTTGCCCATGGTTTCCTTTTCCTACCGAAAGTAATCCTTCTTTCGATTATTCCACATTTTCTGTTCGTAGGATTTACTGCTATTGAATTGACGATTTGGGAGAATTGCGCGGAAGAAGAAGCATTTGGTAGGGCCATTTGTCCATAGAGAACTTAGAATTTCTGTTGGTCGGTGGAAGGCGGACAAGTGGACCTGCCTTTCTTAGCTTTGTAGATGCAATTGATCCAATCGTTTACAGCTGTAATGATGACTGAAGCAGCTGATGAAATTACGCTACTGCTCTTGCTCAAACATTCAGCGGTGCGGTGGGCAGATTGCTTATGATTTCAGTTTCAGTTACGCTATATGCTTATCTGGAGGCCTTGTCCTTCGACTGAAGTGAAGACTCTCAGCAGCTAAGGTCAGCTCGGAGGTTGAACGTCAGAAGAAGAAATGTACTTAATTTATACAGCTCAATTCAACGTATGAGCAAGGTGTAAAGTCTGCCGAAGTGATACTTCCTCTTTGTTTGTGGTAGGATGACAAGACTGCATACTTTTCTTATCGTCACCGGCGGCTAGTGCAATTCAGGTGGCGAAGGAAGATAATGATTGGAGAAAATCCAGAGGATTAGATTCTTTAGTGTAGAGGGGGGGTGATCTTTGAAGTTTGACTACAAGTGTGTTAGCAAGGTTTGCCGTGTTAGGTTTTAGATTGCTAATGAATCGGAATTGGATCTTCTGATCCAGAATGGAAGATTAGATCCCAAAAGGCTTTTTGTCTAATGTTACGAAGAGGTGCGATGGAGTGAAGATTCAGGTACGCAGGTGACCAGGCAGCTAGGTTTTTTTACAGATATTATTACGTGTAGGAATTTGGACGTTGAGCAAATTCTAACGGAGAGAAGTTGGAAAGATCTAGACGCAAGAAGAAGAGTTCCATGATATTTCTTTCCTGTTTCGTGAATGATCTTTGTCTGTCGTTATTGCAGCGGACTGTCCCGCCCGCCACAAGATCCAGATAACGGGGGAGTGACGTCAAGATTCTGTTGGAGAGAAATGTAGGCGAATTTTTAACTTGTGTGTTTCAGTCCTACAGGATGCAACGAAAGCGTACTCAGAGACATACAGGGATGGGTCTGATGAAAAAGCTCACGAATGCCAGAATTCTGTAATTTCATTGCTTGACCACATGTATATAAGAAGATACTTGAAATAGATTCGATGTATTTTTCATATTTCCATTTTTCTTCTGCAATATCGCGCTAGAGCGAAGAGACATCAGTGGGGAAAGGCGACCTGACAAAACTATCAAAGAATACAATCCCGCCTGGGCACAGGAGATTCAGAAAGCGATATCAAATTCGCCAGGACGAAGCGAAACTGCTACAACTAGCAGATACCTCGCTTTGTAAACGCTAATTTCAATTTCACCTATTTGTACAAACTAGTTCCGCCTCAAATGTCATATCTCAATGACTGCTATTTGGGCAGCTATTCCCGTCATTGAACATAGGAATATATTGACTCTTACTACTATAGACATGGGTGTTGTAACCACTGCTTAAGCATCTCACAACAGCAGTATGGGAGCATGCAAGGGTTGGGTGACTGGGTGAGAGTGTGTGCCTCTGTCGTCGTGTACTGTCCAACTTTTCAGAGGTATGAACTGACGAGAAAGAAGGCAGGTCAACAAAAAACCAGAGCGTCATCATCGCTTTCCGATCCCCTTTAGTGTGGCCTATGCGTAGAGACTCCCATGTCAGCTCATGGGAAGCTCCACGATTAAATTTTTACTTCAATGCAACATCTGAAGGATTTGAATGAGTGCCCCAAAGGCACCCATTTATATCAACACCAAATCCGGATCACTCCGAGTTGCCCACTTCTCCGTCTACCACCACGTCCTGGAACGTGTTCTCCAGAGCCTGCACAGACATAGAGCACGAAGACCACGATGAGTGCAAAGGCAGCAAGCCTAGCCCTGGCCCAGAACTACCTGTGATGATGCTTCCCAATGAAAACGGGTCAGACAGACAGACAGACAACCGGTCGTCAGCTGAGTACAATGCAAAAGTCTTTTTCCCGGCCCATGTTTCGTTCGTGACACGTCCAGAGCTGTTAACATCGATCATCGCTTCTGTATTCAAGGTGCGACTACGGACTGCCATTAGAGTAGGGTGCATTGGATTTCTTCTCTGGGTTTTCAATCCCTAAAGGTTTAAAAAGCTCGAATCTTCACGCAGTGGGGCGGGCGTGCGCGTGAATGTTCACCACTAACCTTCGGTGGCACCACTGGAGCCAGCGTTCGTGCAGGTCTCCTGTTTCGCGCGAGCAACCCTTTAGAGATGGGCGATACCATAGCATCTGTCGGGCTCTTGTACCTGCAGGCAAGCGATTATGGTAGTTAGAACTTTGACGTGTCCAGAGGGACGTAATGGTACATGCAGAAGCATCAACAGCGGCACAAATTGGATCCAGCTTTTACCGGTTGGGCACATGAGGAACACCATCCTCATCCTCATCCTATACGGCAAACCTAGTCGTCTGTTCGTCTGGCCTCATACTCCTGGTTTGTCCATAACGTAAGAAACAGGTTCAAGGCTGATGTTCCCAATGGATGGAGAGGCTACGGGGTCGATGATAATGGGCAGATCAAAGGTATAGTGGACCCAAAAGAAAATACTGGCTAGATTCCGTAAGAAAGAAATGGATGATGGATTCATATAGTCATATGAGAGAGAGAGAGAGAGAGAGAGAGAGAGAGAGAGAGAGAGAGAGAGAGAGAGAAGAGAGAGAGAGAGAGAGAGAATGTTCGCTTGCTCGTCAACGGACTTGAGGAATACTTTCCAATATTTTGTCTCTGTATTATAGTACTGGAAATTTAGGGGCAGGGGCCTGACTGCAGAGAACTGGGATGAAGGGAAGGGAAGGCAAGGAGGGGCGAGGGGTCGCCCAAGAACGATCAGATTCACACAAGCATTTGGCCCTACAGAAGTGGACTTTGCGATGCTGCAGCATTGCAAAAGGGGCCTCTTTCTTACCTTTCTGGGTACCCGAAGAGTTTCTTGGGCGGTACTTTGATGTGGGGGGGAATCATCCTCTTGCCCTCTTCCCTGTTGCGCTCCTTGAATGGCATTTCCTTGGGAGCAGCTACCGCCTTCACTGGCATTGCTTTGGAAGCCATCTCCATCCTGCGAGGAACGTTCTCCGTCTCGCTGAGCTTCAAGTCCAACTCTCGAAGAGGCAACATCGTTCTGACCAGAGGTGGCTTGGACACAGTCTCCGACTGATTGGGACGTAGTAGGCCTTCTTCGGCTTCGGCTGTCTCCGATGAGTGTGTCATGACCGTAACGTTCGGTGTTCGGCACATTAGCTCTTTAGCCTCACTGTCCAGATTGCAGGGAGTGTTTCCCACTTCGCACATCACCATTCCCAGCATGACCGGTCGAGCTGATTCCATGATAGACGGGACGATCTCCATCCTGAGTGCAAGGCGCTGTTAATCCTCAGAAAGACCCAACCACCCAACCACCCTGCGACGATTCTCTTCGAGGCGAAGCTCAATTCCACGCTTGCCCTCTCGCTTGCTTGCGGCTTGCACTTCGGGTGGAAGTTATCATACTCGAGGTCTGCCTTGCCGGTGAGGTCGATTCGCAACTGCTAGAAGATCGATCGAGCGACCGACCCAGCTCACTCACTCACAGTCTCTCGCTTGAGCTCGACGGACTTCGCTGCACTCTTCAAACTAAACCTTTCGAACTGTATCCCGGCTGCGTAACGGAACTACAAGCTCACTGAATTTGCTCCACTGTGCTCCGAGGAGATTCAATTCTGATGCACTGGCCCGAGTGAGCCGGACAGTGGATAGAAGATGAGGCGAAGGTGCGGGGGGGTCTTGAGCACCAACAGGAGGAAGTCCAGCTGCGAAATGGGCATTGCGCATCGCTCGAAGCAGGCAGACTGGAGAAGAGCGGCGCAGAGGAGGAGAGATCCGATCGGAAGTGAACGTTGAAACTCGTCGTTCCAACGGTAAAGAATCTGTCCTTTCTCCGGGAGCAGGACAGATTCTTTGGCTCGGACTCGCTCGGGACAATCATTTGCATTTCTTGGGTCGCTGGATCGCGAAGGTGTACCGGGTTCTTCGTCCTGACCGACCTGATTCAGCTGACGGCAACAAACTGCCGTCCGTCTCAGCCGAGGCCCACGAGTCATACCTGGAGTTCTTCGTCCTCGTTCGCTCGTTGCCTCGGGTGTCTGCTCTCCTCCGGCTCAGAGTTGACAGTTCGCGACTCTGAGGTTCAAGAGACCGTTGCCTCTCTCGTCCACCCTCCCGCTTACTTTGTCCTGTTCTTGCCTCAACGGTCATGACATTCATATCATACGGAGAATTCCATCCATGTCATGGTGTCAGAACCTCGGGGGTCTTCTACGGCATCCATCCAGTCAGCCGTGGAGACCATTTACGCCGTTATCTGCTCGGAACAACTTTTCACATCTCGAGGTAGCACGTCAATAAAGTAATATAACCACTGCGGTGAGTGATGCAATGATTTTATATTTCCTTCACTTGCCCTTCTTCATGTCGGTAATGATCGATTCCAAGTTCAAAAATCACCTGCGGCATAACATACAATATCTGCATCATCAGTTCTTCGACTTTTCAAACTTGAATGCGTAATGTTTTTGGGAGAAAAGTCTGGAAAAGCCAAATTTGAAAAGAAGACTGCGTAATAGATTTACTTTCTAAACAGTAAAAAGAAGTGACCTCATTATTTAGTCAAAACCATATTCACTGAGTTGAAAATACATATTCTCATTACTTTTGAAGCAGTTATTGCTCAATATTTCAATGTTTGAACTTCTCCCACATCTCTCTTCGGCAGCTTATAATTAAAAAAAAATAATTAAAAGTAAGAATTACTAACATTGAATTGTACATCTCTTATGGACTAACAACTTCAATCCAAAGTAGGCATATTCAGAATCGAAATTTGATCGATAAGTATTGAGAATTGATCCTTAACAATAAAGTTATAAAGCTTGAATATCAATAAGAATATCAATTCACCTTTCAAGAATATTTAAAAATCAAGAGATAGATATAAATGAATTTCTCATACAAAGAACAACAAGAAAAATTATAAATCTACAGAGAAATAATTTATTCTATCAATGAAATATAAATCTTTTGTTGAATACATTATGTTTGATCTATTTTTATCCATAACACTGGTTAAAAAGACTTGATCTTGACATCAAGAATTCATAAGAGTAAGAAAAAACGTCAAAATTACCCCATCAATTATCAATAAATTCTTCATCACATGAGGATTTTTTATTATAATTCTTGATAAATCATTATTTTTTTCCTGTGATTATAATATATATATGTACAAAATAAAAAATAAAATAAATGATGTAATATATCTATAAATAATGCTTTAATACATTTCTTCTATATGGACTATTCGAAGTTTTGAACAAGATTATTGAAAATAAATTGCAAGTTAGTACAAAATTTAATAATATACTATACACCAGTCTCAAAATCTCAATTTTCCAGTCAAATGATTTTTGATCAGACTGATTTATTTATTTATTAAAGAATATATTTTTTTAAAAAATCTGTCTTTTTTTCATATATTAGTTTTGAACTTCATACTTCAAACATTTATATAAAAAAAAATTCAATAGCAAAGCAAATTTTTCAAGCAAATTAAAAAAATTAATTATTACTAATTTTCCAGTTCAAACAACATTTGAAAGATGTTTAGATCTATAATAAATAGAAATTTATTAATAAGAAGAAGATTGAAGAAGACTCCCAGAAAACATATGTTGTAATTTCGACCATAATCTTTTACATGAAAGAGCTCTTGAACAGCACTGAGCAAAAAAATAATTTATTGTAAATATAATCAAAATGAATTATCAATGTACATTGGTACTAAAATTCCATATTTTAAAATTTAGGATTCCTACAAGTTATTTTTCAGTTTGTTGATACGGGTATTGCTGTTTTCAATATAGTTATTGAAGATAATGTTTATTTGTCATAAAAAATATATTCATATCTAGAATTCCAATTTCTCATTTTTAAATATTCATAGATTTCTATTGTGAATGATATTATCATTTGTATTAACCTTAAATATAAATTTCAGATTAAAATTTTTCCAAGTAATGATCAATATGACTATAATTTGTATGTTATATGTTGCTAGAAATCTATGGCTGAAAATTTTTTTAATCTACATATCTCGATATATTTTCTGAATTTCGACTCTTCCTCTGACTAAAATATTAAGTGATAATTAAGTAATCTTTTATCAAAATCAGAAATGATAGTATATTTTGATCAATATATTCTGACCATGTGTTGAGAAGTCTACTTCCTCCAGGACCAAGGGCTGCTCATTTCGCATTGTCTAATACAGTTTTCTCTCTGCACACGAGTTTTTCCCTCACCGGCCCGTTGCAACCTCATTCGCATGGAGGTCGCTAGTGACTTCCTCACAGTGATCATCACCGGAAGGGGAAGGGAGAAGGTGCTGATTAGTTATTTTGTGTCTCCCTCTGGCTTTACTATGTTTTGTGAGACTGTTGCGATGTATATGTTATCTCAATTCATTCATTTTATTAAATTATGTAATCTCATATATATATATATATATATCATAGAATGATAATATTAGTATTATTCTATTAATATATTGTAAAAGTTATATGAGATACCCTCATACAAATAAATATTTTCAAATATTTTTCTCATTTGATACAAATTATTCACATCAACATTGATGTAATAATATCAAGAAGATTATGACTTATGTAGTAGATATCTTAATAGATGTATATTTAGGTGTAGAATCAAACACACTCATTACAGCCAATCGCCGAGTGAGTGTTGATTGCATTGGATGTGATTACATTGCAGCATGGAAGATAGCGTTGTGAGCAGATTTGCGATTTAGGGGAGGAGTTTGGATTATGCTCCTAAATAATCAGCTTGTGAAGCAGTGAATTAGAAGATTTAAGCTATGGCGGAGAATGATTAGAGCAAGAACCTAGACTTACAGTAGGTTTGGCTTGATATTAATCTGATCTTTTATTGACATCCGCCATGGCTTCGCGGTAGTTTTGAAAGTAGAATAAATTGATTGGGATAAACTTGTGTTGGTCAATGTAAGTCTTTGTATTCTGAAGTTGGATTTGATAACAGTGTATGTTGTGATACAATTTATTTGTGTCCTACAAAACAAACGTATGGAATTTTCAAGATATATTTATAGTGGCCGAGAATAAACCCTTTAAAAAAATGGGTGAAAATGTGTAAATTACATGTCATTATTTTAAGGCATCCAAACTCAAATGAATATTATGCAATATTCAAGTAAATTCTGTTTTTAGATATATTATAATACATGATATAATAATTTATATCTCATTTTTAGCATAAATTTTAACAAGATATTATTCTTACTGAATATGAATATTGTGAAGGATGTTGTTAAAAGATTACAAAAATAAAACGCATGAAAAAAGAAAAAAAAATTGTTATCTTTCACCAGAATAAGGTCTAAAAAATTCAATTTAAAATTTTACATGATATTCGCGCATCACAATTGAAAGTTTGAATGCTTCAAGATGTTGTGAATCAAAATTCAATGAAATTGTTTCACACATCCATAATCATATGTCTAGAATTTTGGGGTTTTAGGATGAAACGAATGACAATGATCAAGGTAGAGATCGATAGTGAGAATATTCAACAAATTTAAATCTGTTATAAATTAAGACAATTTGGAAACAAATCAAGTCTTGCTTGACATTCAGATATGTCCCTTAATATTATCTAAACCTCATTGGCTTCACATCTCATCAGCCATGATGCATTATAAACCTAGGGGTTTCTGTCCCGCGCGCAAATAGCATGAGATTTAAAACAACTTTAATTCTACCAGATCGGTGAACATAGCTTTACAGGCTAATATATTCTTGAAAATTTAAAAGCACGACACTTCCGACCCAATCTGTCAACGTTCAGCATACTTACTATACTTGAAGCCTTTTCCATGTAGAGCTAGCAGCTATTCTGACAGGTCACCTCACACTCTACCCACTCTACCCGATATTGAATTAGGCCGAACTTTAAGTTCCCTCCAACGACTAGGTTGGCGACTGCTTGTAGCAGCTGGGTAGATTCCTCTACGATGTGTAATATACATTGAATTTAGCTTTAAGCGGATAATCAAATGTGGCTTCGCTAGTTTCCTAAAATTTTGGAGCAGATTTTTGAAGTCGACGTGTCATATGAGTAGCTTCACAGTAAATTCACGTCCTTCAGATATTTGTACTTCAAGGATCATGCCGTAGCTTTGGTTTTGAAGTGCACACTTTGGGTCAATTTAGGTTTTAGTATTCGACTTTACAGTCGCTAGGGAGGCGTGTGCAACAGAGCTTCTCCAGCAAATCGAGATATATATTTTGGGTTCGGGCGAGGTGAGGATTTACAAGACCCAAGATACTTGTGTTGACTTCAAAAGGAAGACCAAACGCTCATAAAACATCTTTCGACCACTTTGCGGAGTACACATTCCAGGGCAGTCTAGTGCATTCTGTGGTTGGTACAGAGTGAAAGACCTTGAATATGATACATCATTATGTTCCTCTTCGCACTCACACTTCGCTACAGCTTCATCGGTGCAATTAACTCAGCTGAGCTACTATATTATACCGTCCAACCAATAAGCTTCCAGACGATTGTGTCAAAACCTACCTAGACTACGCAGAAGACTTAACTTCACCAAAATCGCAGCTTAATGCCTTCTATAAGTTGACAGTAATCGCTTGCATCGGCCGCTCGTAATGTACAAATGTCACATGCCGGCAGATCACAGCTGTAACCTAAACAAAAGCAGTAGGCCAAAAACTAAACCTACGCTTAAAAGTCCTCAGAGCTACGCTCATCGAACGCAGGTATGCCACAAAATGCCCGTCACGAATTGAATTGGAAGGACGTAGCTACCGGTTCCGTTCCTGTCAAGAGTGTCGCTATAATATAGATTTGCTTCACACCATTACTTGAAGATCTCTAATCTGCCAAGAGACATACATGCTCAAATTGCTTGAGACCCATTGTGCCTCTTCATTCAGATTGAACGTAGCTTCCAGCTCGAATCTTCAGTAAGAAGATGCTCTTAGAGATGTGGCAGTAACATCCATGTGCACCAAAACATCTGATCTCAGCCGACACTACAGGGCGTTGTCATGTAAACAACGCTAAGATCAGTAACAGACAGATAGAAACGGCAATTCCACACATGGAGTTGCGTGTGGAACTAGGGTAGGATGAAACGGACTGAACTGACGGTCTTCAAACTTCTACTTGGCACTTTATGCTGGAAACGAGGGACAGCCGTCCTACAGCAGCAGGGATCTCTAGAACCCCTCGTGAGGTTGATTCTTTCTTGCCTCACGTTCAGGTTGAGGTTAAAGGGAACAATAACCTCAAAGCAAAATTTGGTTCTTAAACGAGCAAGCAACAACTTTCAGGAAAGGACGATTAACGGAAGCAACAATTTCTGCTCTTGGACGCTCAATGCTCAACACATAATTATTGAAGAATATGCTTGATGTACTAGATTCTTTGATCCCATTTGCTCTGAACATCATGTTTCATTCCTGCGAGAAGAAGCCCCGAAATCATGAGTGCATTTGAAAAGTAATCGTCTTTTCAAGTGAAATGAATCTGGAACTCCACAGGGTGCCTTTATCACTGCAGTTACAACTTTCTTTGTACTCTATTCGAACGGAGATAGGTGCAAACAGGAGTAATCTTACATACCAATCACCACCTGTTTTCACGCTACAGAAGTGATGTAAGCTGAGAGCAAATACTCGGGTCTAGTCTTACCTCATGCCAACAAAATGTCCAGCGGAGGCGTTTATCCGATCAAATTTGCTGACGTCATTCGTGTGCTATTTTTGGCAGCTTCACTACCTTACCAATAGCCACAGTCTTCCCTAAAGCCATTATCAATCTGGCATTAGTATCTGCCTCTTTCGACCAGCAAGAAATATGTAAGAAACTTACTGCGTCATTCCAAAAGCAATTGAGGAGGTCTAAGCACCTTCATCACGTAGAGTAAAGCGTCCCAATTGAGGAAAGTCTTCGAACTTTTCCACACAGATCGGTTCATTGACCTGCAAAAGCAAATGTGAAGATAATTCCTCTTTAGAGTAAGACAAATATTGCGGCTACGAAAATGTGGACACATGTGAGAACGTCTCAAGGCACCATCTGCAACCGACCGAGGCCCTGAGGTGAAGCCGCTGACATATGAACTAAAAAGACCGAACTCAAGAACATATTTTATTTGTACCTGAATCCTGACCACCACAACAGCACCACTTTTCACAAACAGAACTTTCTTCTTTTTGGGCTTCTTGGTTTTGGGATCTATTTCTTGAAGCAGCTCAATAATTTCACATTCCTCGACGACTGAATGTATGTGAAGAACAGCCTTGTAACCGGCTGTAAATATAGCCTGCCAAATATCTTTTCGAGTCAGTATTGTGCGCATCCATACGATACGGGATTGTTACATATAAAGACTTGAAACATAGATCACCACAAAAACACATGTCTAGCTTTCAAAAGACCGTACTTGTGATGATATAACAGAGCCACAATCTGTGTCCTGTCTGGAGTAGACACTAAAGCAGGTAAAAACCCATCCACACATTTCTAGAGGTATTCCCCTCGGCTGCACAGAGACCCACCCCACACTGTGTAAACCACCATGACACAAGACGAACAGCACAGCGAAGGACATTGACCACCTACTTTGTGGTCAAGAAGCTCCAAGATTTGCAGTTGGGCATCAAACTCGAGAACGACAGGGATGGTCTTACCTGCGACACAGAAAACGGTCGTTAAATTTCAACTTACCAAGATGTTCTAAGGCTGTACATGACTATCAAGCAATCAAAGTCTAATCAAGGTACTACAGCCTTTAACCGAAGAAACTCATGCTAAGCTTGAGTAAACTCGAATCACAACTTGGTGCATGCGGCAAACAGATTGCGTACTACGTTATCAACAGCAAGGGATTGACATGCAAGATGACAAAACAGCTCGGGCCCAGGTGGCACATCTTCGATGTGACATTCAAGTAATGTATGAAAGCGACCAGATGTAGAAGAAGGTATATGCATGAAATAGACCCATTCCCTTGATAGATAATCCGGGTGCCTGACGAAGATTTAAGACAAAAGACAGAAAAGACTCTCCCTTATCCTATTTCCGGGTCACATTCGGCAGTGTTTAACAAACAAGAAGAATTTCAGTATATATCTTCCATTATCCACCTGGAAAGCCGTTATCCTCCCACCGGCTTGGCAAGGGGTTAAATAAGCAGAATCTGTGTGTGGCAATGAATCAAGCGGTGTCGACTGGAGCTCCGTCACCAAGATTATACACGAGAAATTAGACAAACATGAGTAAAGTTGCTCAGATATACATACCTAAACTGGACAAGACAAACCCAGATGAAATGTCTTCCTCCTCTACTCCTGACAACCTAATCCGTAGATTTTCTCCAGGTTTCGCATAGTTTACTTCGTCATTGTCCCGATAGACAGTAACAACCTTGACTTGGGCCTGCAAAACGTGCGTGGGTGTGAGTTGCTCCTGACTCTTCAAACACTGATCAACGGTGAATATAAGGAAATTGAAGGTCACTGTAACAAAAGACGACTCCATTTTGGGTTGGCACAACCTACCTTGTTGGGCATGACTATTAAACTATCTCCTCTTCGGACGCTCCCAGACTCAATCTTCCCCATAACGACCGTTCCCATATCTTTAAACTTATCTATAAGAGGCATCCTGCAGAAGCCGCAAATCCATCCATCAGAAGTTTACTTTAGACGCACAATTAGTTACATTAGGCTGTTAAAACAGCGATCCTAACAATGACTCCAGAACTTTCACCATCAATACGAATAATTCCTTCAAAAGTAACCTGAATGGGCCATTTGGATCCCTGAGAGGCAGCTCCACGTTATCCAGGGCCTCGAACAAGCTTGGTCCATCCCACCAATTGCAAGGTGTCTTCCCCATTCTCTCCTTCATGTTCACCCCTAACAGACCAGAGATTGGAAGAAATTGCACGTCTGTACAAGAGAGGAAAGGGATAAGAGTCTCGCCAATACGCTTATTAGGAAAAAAGTGCGTTCATGTATTTAGGATATGTATTCAAACTGCAAGAGATTGAACAACAAAAACACTCTGGGAAAGAATGATGAAACAGGTCCTCCCTGAACGATCCTTACACGTTCCATACTAGATTTAGTATATCTATACTTCTTACATGCTGACCATAAGAGGTAAAGATGGATGAAGTGGTTTCCTTCAACCACAAAGTCGTAATAATCCACGTTCACCAATATACCTTTTTTGGCGTTGTAACCACATGCCTTCAAAAAGGGGAGCATTTTCTTTTCAATCTCATCGAACCTGGACAAGGGACGACAGTGAGGTCAAGAACTGTTTCTTGGTGTAAATTAAAAGACAACATCACAGGATCCTAGCCGACTGTGCCGTGCTGTTTCTTCTCAGTTGATTCATTCAATCATGCTATGACAGTTTGATCAACAATGACGTCCAAGTGACAAAGGGAAGGTTGTGACTTGCAAAGAGGAGCTGATCAGACCTCTCCTTGGCCCACTCCACAGACAAGTCGTCCATTTTGTTGACGGCCACCAATAGTTTCGATACGCCTAAAGTTTTCGCTAGCTGAGCATGTTCACGTGTCTGCCCTCCTCGTTCAAATCCAGTCTCAAACTCTCCCTTCCTAGCGGATATTACCTGGACGAGAAGTATCGAAAAATCAGGGGCGAAGAGTATATGTGAACTTGCAGTGTACACCGGCATCCGGCTCATGCGCTGAGATGAGAGGCAGATCCTAATATAATGACTTTGTTGACAACAAAACGTACACATCGGGTCGGTTTACAGAAGATAGAAAATGTAGAGAAGATATACCAACACTCCGACATCCGCCTGAGAAGCTCCCGTGATCATGTTTGGAACGTAGTTTTTGTGGCCCTGTCATGACAACATTTCACTCTTAAATCTTCTCCTTCAGACGCAGAGACATGAATAAAATGGAAAATGTGGCATATGGCAAAGTTGGTGAGCTACCACCATGTGAGGAAAGCATCATTATTTTATTTCCTTCAAGAGTATCAACTCAACAAACAAACTGCGGCAACTTGACAGCAGACGGCAAGATCAGCGACTACAATTCTTTCTACACGTGATGAGGAGAATGCTCAGGACTATTCTACGTTCGATATGGTGATGAAACTCACAGGGGCATCCAATATTGTGAATCTCGACTTCGCTGTTTCAAAGTGGGCTCTTCCAACCTCAACAGTTTTACCCTGTTTATACCCGCACGAAAAATAATCAAGAAATCAGACACAATTCGGGAGGGTTAGCTCGAACCTATCCCTTAAATTTCGTAAAGTAGCTGCAACCCTGCAACTGTGGTAGAACAATTTCTGAAAGTAAACGCGTTATATCCGTACTGGTAACAAAAGTTGCTGTAAATTATGCGTGTAGTAATTCATCTTCTTGAAAACGAAATGCTCCAAATTAGACCAATGTGATATCTCACATTCAAATTTCTTTCGAATAAACAACGAAAATGAAGATATATTCAATTTGAATCAAGGCAGTCATTCACATATCTGGATTAAGTTGTCTACATTACCTTCGCTCGCTCTTCTTCGTTGGTATCCATGATATAGGCCATGTACCTTAAACCAGATAAACATAGAACAAGCAGTCAAGGTTCACTCCGCAGTGTCAAGCTACAATTATGCACACTTCATGTGCTTGTAATCTGGTTTATAAAAAGCTGGAAGATGCCGATAAGACTCCACGATCTTCAGCTTCAAAAATGTCGTAAAAACTTACCCGTTCTAACCTCGCTCCATGGCTAAACAAGCTGAGATGCTGAAACAGCAAAAATTGACCCAATGGACAATCGAGTTTAACTAACCGATTCACTTCAAAATAAGCTTGGATGAACAAATCCTCAATCAGATGATGCTGGCCGTGCAGGCTTCACTTACCAACTCTCCCGATTCTTCTCTTTGGCCTCTCGCTCGTACTTTTGAATCGTTCTTTCATCAACCATACCGCTGAGGTAAAGGATTTGTCCACCAATGGTAGACTTTCCCGCATCTACTCGATCAAAAGTAAATGAGGTTATTGACAAAAAACGGTACAACCTTCTATCCTCGACCACTCCAGAGTCTGACAGAAAATACAGAAGTCTACAAGCAAATGTCCGGAGAACAGAAAAGAAGGACGAATAACATGCAAGGCTTCGTGCTCACCGACGTGCCCAATGAAAACGACATTCATGTGCGGCCTGGGGTCCAATTCCTGCGGAGTCTGCGGGTACTGTTTTTGGGCATGCTCTTCAAGCGAGTGTTCTCCTGCACCATGATAAGGATGAGAGTCAATACACCTCGTCGATAAGTTTGACAATCAACACGGCATTCTGAAACAAACAGGGGTGATGGACTGTAAACCCAAAGAGAATGACGGAAATGCAAACGGTTGTCACAATTGAAAAGTGGAAGAAGCTCTCCATCAATCGTCATTCAGCCAAATAACATCGAAGGAACGCTAAGATGTCCATGTCGTTGTCCAATGGCGTTGTCCAAGATGTCCATGCTCCGCAAGGATGTAGCCGCGATCTATCGGTATAAAACATTCGCATGCGGCGAGGGAAGAGCTCAACACACCTCGATCAGCATCTATCGCAGGATCCGCGGCCGTTCCCTCGGCCTCCTCAGAAGAGGAGGCATCTGCGGTGGTGTGCTGGTTTTCCGCATGAGGATTGTCACTGCCAGACTCAGGCACCAGAGCATCTCCACTAACGGGAGCGACCCCAACATCGGAGGCGCTTTGATCAGACGTACCCAAATCCAATTCAGCTAACGCACTGGCGGCAGCATCTCCTGCATCAGTTCCTGGAGACGGCGAAGAGGGCGCCGGAGGGGCGACCAAGGTAGCTGCTGGTGCAGGAGCGGGTGGTGCGACGGGAGCAGCAGCGCCTTGGGCAGCAAAACTGGTCGGTCCAGAACTACCAAACGATGGCGTGGTAGGAGAGAACACAGGTGCTGAGGGATTGAAACTGAAAGCAGGCGCGTTCGGATTGAACGTGAACTTGTGAGCAGGTTTCGGAGGTGGCTGATTGGACTGGGGCGCTGGCTCCATGTCCTCCCAGGAATCAGCGGGCTCGGCCATGACAGCGAGCGATCCTGTTAGACAACGCGACTGAGTGCGACTCTGTCGATCAGTTGTCGAGGAGCGTAGACCTCAAGAGAAGAGAATGAGAAGAGGAAAGAAAATAAGGGATTAGTATTGCTGACAAGTCAATCCAATCAGTCAATAGTGTAGTCAGTAAGGGCGAGGCAAACCCTTCGGGTTCTTCTCCGCTAAGCACCGAACCTCACTCACAACGCACGCGCAGGCTAGAGGAGGAGGAGCAGCAGCAGCAGCAACAGCAGCAAGGGACGAAGGAGAGGCAAGGGAGGGTCGCCAAGCAAGAGGGGTCCAAGAAAGAAGAGAGCCGAGGCAGAGGCAGAGCACGTAGAACGCAGGGCACACCCAACAACGCCGAAGACCGTCTTGCCCAGCCCCACGCCCGGCACTGTCCGCGTGAATTAGGGTTCGCTCTTTCTCCTTCCACACTCTCCCTTCATTCCTTCATACCATCCCCTCACATCCCCTTCCACTCTATTCTGTCCTCTACATTTACTCTTACTCGTGGAAGAACTCTCTGTCCGAAGGCTCTCTCTCTCTCTGAACCTTGGCCAGTTTCGGCCACAAACTACCAGAACTCAATCTTAGAGTTGCCAGTTGCCCGGTGAGCTGTCAGTTACGCACGACTGCTGACGTGTCAGTCAAAGGTTCCCGTCCTTCTGAGCAGGGAAGAACCACTCACCCAGTTTAGCTGCATTTGCGGAAACTAAATAAAGAAGCATTTATTTGTATTTACAATATACGAGAATCGGAAGTTGTAGCTTAGCGGCAGTTTGGAGATGTTGGAGAGCGGCAGCGTCGCTTGCTGCACTTGGCTGGGGTCTGGCGGCCAGTCCTGACTTCAGACCGCGACGGAGACAAGGGGCCGTGTCCCGTGTCCCTGACCCCGAGATCGGAGTTCGAACCGTAGAGGAGGTAGAGTGCCGGCCCCTGGCTCGAGAGCGACCATTTGCCGGTCTCAGAGTTCGAGTTCGAGCAGCATTGTTCTGCAAGGGAAAGCCGAGCAAGGCCAGCGGAAGCAGCGATGGCGTCGTCCGCGCGTGTGCGAGCGCTGCTTTGGGTCGCTGTCATGCTTCCTGTTCTGTGCGCAGCATTCTCCGAGGAAAAACCTACCGATCAACGGGTTCTGGTCTTGCTGGACGATCTGGCACTCAAGTCTTCTCACTCGATCTTTTTCAAATCGCTCACAAGTGAGTGTCTAAATGCCTCGCTTTCTGTAGCATATCATGTTTATGCAGTATGTTGAGGTCACGTGGATCCCCTACGACGTCAATGCTCACCCGATCTGCTTCTTTGAAGCTAGCTTTCCCGCTTTGATCTAATTTCGGGATGCTTTCTTCTGCTTCTTTTCTTTAATTTTCTTGAATGCAGCTGAAGTGAACTACTCGTCAGTTTTTCTCATAAACCCTTTTTTTGTCCACAAAACCCAGACAACGTCTGTTGACAGTTCACCTCAGAATTTCTCTTCTGGTGCATATGAGATTTATCCTACAAGTATATCCGCCGTTGTCATAAAGCGCTGCCCTCAATATCATATTCAAATTCGTTTTTTAAACGAACAACACGGCAGCTTATCCTGTTATAAAGCTGTTAGTATACTCTTGGGAGCGATGTTGCAATTTTGATCGCGGACTTCCGACTCCGTTAGATCAGTTTATTTTGAGTTACTCTCCGTTCCAGTGCCTGGTTCGTACGCAATCACAACTTTTTCAACTTGATTATAGTTTCCGGTCTCTCTCTCATCTTATGGCTCCCTAACAATCCACTAGCAACTGGGACTTCGACTCTCTGCTACTATCCCTTGTCGAGTTCAATGTTTTCAAACTGATAGGAAAAGGTGTAGAAATGCCACTGATTTACCTCGCCTCCATTCTAAGGGTTCCGATTAATAACATCTTTCCCGTTGGAGCTTCTCTTAAAGAAAAAGACTAAAGGGAAGCGGGGAATCATTAATTCGCACCCAGTCTGCTATTAGCTGGGCTTGAATGCTGGAAAAGCTTGTTCTAGCGTATAATTTGACTCCGATTGTCTGTCTTCCCAGCTGAGTGGACGTAATTGACCCGAACATGCGGAACATGACGCAAAAGGATTGGATGAGACAGGGATGTCCTCAGATTGTTGTAGAAAGTTTATGACTGTTAGAAGTGTATAAAGAACTCGGTATGGTAAATGAAACTGTGCTTGCAAAATGAGATTTCGATCTAAGCTAGAACCGTCGAATGCAGGTCGGGGATACGAATTGGACTTTAAATTAGCAGATGATTCGAAGTTGGCTCTGCAAAGATACGGAGAATACTTGTATGACGCGCTCATCCTTTTTGCTCCGTCTGTAGAAGGTATGCTGCTTCACGTTAGAAGGTGCAATATTGTGCAGCTTTTGAGGATATCAAGGAAACCCTTGATCTTAGGGCTTAAACTGTCGTGGACGCTTCATGCTTGGGAGTTGAATCTGATACAGTTCAAGCGTTCAAGCTGTCTTTAGTCTGGAAGTTTGTCTTGCAAGTGAATTTCTCTAACCTGTAACCCAAGTGATATATTCTGCTCCTCTGAAGCGGTGGAAGTACATGGTCGCTGGACTGATTGATGAGAGCCACGTGGAAGTACAGGTCAACTGGGAGGCAACTTGGATGTAGCTGCGATTTTGGACTTCGTGGACTCTGGCCATGACCTGATCCTGGCTGCAGATGCCCACACTTCTGATGTCATAAGAGACATCGCAACAGAATGTGGTGTTGACTTTGATGAGGTGGGTTACTAAAACATTTTTGCTTCATTCTACAAGCCCGTTCCATGGCGCATGGGGACGTCGTTTATTCATTAGCCAATTCAGCTCCTGTCCTTTCATCACGGCTTTTCCCTGTTTTCTTATCTGCTTCACAGCATCGGTTATTTGCCTCTGTTTTTCTTTATAGGCCCTCATGATAATTTTTTTACTTGCAATGGGCTCTTATGCCGCCTTTGGAATGTGAAGAGTTGTTTGACCATATGATTCTGTTGGTTGCTAAGAAGTGTAAAGCTTCATATTTCAAACCTGATTGAAGTCTCCGAATACACGCAGGATACGGAGGCTGTGGTTGTCGATCACATAAATTTTGCTGTGCAGAGTGAAAGCGATCACTCTCTTATCGTCGGTGACAAGTTGATCGATGCCGACGTCATTTTGGGGAAGGATGGTATCAAGGTACGAACTGAACTCCCCTGCGAGCCACATTCTGACATGAGGACTTGGTTTGCACATGATCTGATTGACTGGAGTGCTGATCCATGGTTTATTGTGCAGGGTCCTGTCCTCTTCCGTGGTATCGCTCACTCTGTTAATGCTGCCAGCGACCTTGTGAGCATTTCAGTTTTTTGACTTCAATTCCAAGTATTTTTTTGAAAGTCTCGGGTTCATTTTATCTAGAAACTTTAACCTCTGCCCATGCAACATGTTGAGAGCTATGCTTACATGAACATCCTGTTCATCTGCTCATGTTGTTCCCTTCAGGTTGTCACAGTTTTGTCAGCATCGCCTTCTGCCTTCTCTGCCACCCCGAATGCTGTGATGACAGCTCCCCCAGCTCTCACCGGCACTTCCATATCACTTGTCTCTGTTGTTCAGGTGCGTCGATATATATTTGTCCATGATAGGGTAGACCTGCGCATAGGGAGGGTGGAAGTTAGGTCATGGTTCACACAAATTTGACACTTTCTCATAACTGTTTTCATATGTTTGTTGACGTGATGAAGATCTTGTCGTAAGTATAAAGTTTTTACTTCAATTTTTTTCCTAATATTGAACTTTGGTTTTGTGCAGGCTAGGAATAATGCTCGTATTTTAATTTCGGGCTCGCTGGACTTATTCAGCGACAAGTAAAGCTCTGAACTAGCTCGGTGTCATGTTTCAATTGCTAGGTGGTTGCGAAGGGGCTACATTTTGGAGTTGTATTCATGTAACTGTTGATCGCTGAGTAGTCAGTATAAATGAATCTGCTACTCAATGTTCATGGCCTTATTGTCAAAGCGTTGCTGCTAAGAAGCATACGTTTTAATCCCAAACTTTGACATGCAGGTTTTTTAAATCCCCCGTACAGAAATTCGGCAGTTCTTCGAAGTACGTTTTCCTTCTGGTGACCCTAAACCTTAAACCCTAAACCCTGAACCCTGCCTGGGTTTCACGTATCTCTATGCCTAAAAAGAGCCGAGTTAAAAGTATGGAGACATAAATACTGCACGGAGAGAAATTTTTCCTGCATGCCTACCCACTTCACTCTCTTGTCCATGTGTTCCTCACTGCCTTCGTGAACTTATTTTATGGTTTTTGTTCACACTCTTTCATTATCAATGATTTGAAGTTTACGTCCTGCTCAATGATGTTAGTACAGATCAATTCTCATATTCAGGGTCTTTTACAATTCAAGTCTGGGATGATCTACATAATTGTTCTTGTTTAAATGAATGCTAAAAGTTAGAAACACTCATATGTGAAGAATAAGCAAGCAATTCAAAGCTATACATTTGATTCAGCACCTCCGTGTGAAGCAGGTCTGCTTCTGGAAATGAGCAGTTGGCGCTGGAGTTGAGCAAGTGGACTTTCCATGAACGCGGACATTTGAAGGTGGATTTGTCTAAATATTTTTACAATTACCATCTATGTGTTTCTTAAAGCAGGTGCCGTGCGTCATTTAGCGTCGTTTCTTGATTCGTATTGGCTTTGCGCCTGGATGTCCACTAAGATGAAATTTTTCTCACAGGCTGTGAATGTTCATCACCAAAAGGTTGGAGAGAAAGATGAACCAGCGATGTACAGAATTACTGACCAGTTGGTGAGTCCCTGGGTCTCCCAAGCCTGCCACTTTGTTTCAATTACTCCTGGATATATCTGAAGTTCAAGTTACGCACCGGGCAGCTCTCGGCCACTATCAGACCAAGATGGGTAGGAGTGATTGTAGTCTGGCTGACACTTGGAAGTTCCGAACTTCCTTTACCTATATCATTCTCCTTATTTCCCGTTGTCTTCCTATCTTCTTTGGCGTCGTCCTTGCGTCTATGGTCTGCAAGGTATGACGAGCCGATGTGAACAAGAACCGTTAACTTTTCTCAATATCCTCTTGAGCCTCGCCATGCTTTGCCGACCGCTGGGCCCTATCTCCGCGTAATGCGATATCATAGGTTCTCTCTTTCGAGTTTTCAAAGCACCCAGGGTCATCGTCGTCACGTAGTTTACCACGGGTGTCAAGTTAGACGTCGGTCATGGCAACGCTGCACCATTTGGCCCTCGGGGTCATCCATGCGTCTCCTCTGTCTTCAGTATGTGGACGTAGACCGCTAAACGCATGAGGAATAAACAGTTTTCGGTGATTTCTGCGCTCGTAATATTTCACCAGAGTGCTCCACCAGATATATGTGGTTCGCTTCCATTTTTGCAGTACATTTCAGGTTCCTACGAAAACTCTCACTGATAGTTATACAAATACAGGAGTATTCTGTGGAAATTCACGAATGGACTGGGAAAGAATGGAGGCCGTATCAAGCTGATGATGTTCAAGTTCAGTTTTACATGATGAGTCCCTATGTCTTGAAGACAATGGACCACAACGGAAAGGTATGCTTATTTGAACAGGAAATTTGGTTTCGAAGCTTATGAAAACAACTAATCTAGGGAAGCAGTTACCTTGTGGTCTTTTCATCAAAGCATCAAAGCTTGCATACGCATACGTAACCTAGCAGGTTCAAAGTTTTGAGTAGGGCAAGTTTTTTCAAGACACAGACGACCGTGAAAGAAAAGTTCTAGAGCAGAAAGCTATTGCATGGGTGGACATTATAAGAGTCAAGCAATGAATTCCCAGGTTTGGAAAGAGTCCCTTATTACTTTCTCACTTCATGAACTCGAACTGTGCAGGGTCTGTACCACACATCCTTCCAAGTGCCAGATGTGTATGGTGTTTTTCAGTTCAAGGTGGAATACAAGAAGCTTGGCTACACAAGCCTTACCTTAAGCAAGCAGATTCCTGTTAGGCCTTTCCGCCACAACGAGTACGAAAGGTTCATCAAAGCAGCCTACCCGTATTACGGGGGAGCGTTCTCCATGGTAAGAAATTGTGTCCCTGACTTGGTTCATCTTTAACTTTAATAACTATTTTATCTTTTGAGCGCGGAGTGCTACCATTTTCATGAGCTCCCAAGATGCAGGCTTGCGCCATTCCTTCGTACTGATTTTGTTCAAACTGGTATATGTACTTTGCACTGTCTGCAGATGACTGGCTTCTTCGTATTTGGGATTGTTTTTCTCTATCACAAATGAGCCAGCTCAACAAGACGTCAAGACTCCACCTTTTTGTCCTGCGGCTTTTTTGGCAGTCTTCTTAGTGTACGGAATCCTGACAGTTGAAGACGGGCTGAAGAGAGTATGGGGGCTCATAGCCTTCATGCGATCAACCTGCTGCGATATCCTCTCAAGAACCGTTGAGACCCTAGAGTTGACACTAGAGCATCGAGGTGAGCGTGTCGACAGAAGGAGATATTACCCGTTTGATCGAGGTTAATACAGCGAACTGCACATCGGAAGTAGTCAGGAACTAAAGTGAGTTTGTTAACCAATCTTTCTAATACATTATGTACGTATGGTCCATTGCCCATCAATCAATCCAAAAGCAATTTTTTGCTTTCTGTGCTTTGAGATTATTCGAGTTTATTTTATGAACACCCAGATGCAAACTTGCATATGAATATGAATCCTTATGATATATACCTTGAGTTATGCAGGGCCAGCTTATCACTTGTCTTATTTTCAATCCTTGTCATGTCTTCTGTATACAAAACCCTCCGGTCTATTGTTGTAAATGGATTCTAAGGGATGGCCTTAGGTAGAGGCGTAGATGGTGCATGAGCCGACCGATGCGCAGCCTCTCGCCGATGTTGTGAAAGATTCTTATTATACTGGTCGAGTTGTGTTACCGCATAGGACCCATGCAACGTTCCCCAATGAATGGAACTTTGTCACCATGACTCGCCGATGTTGTTAAAGATTCTTATTATACTGGCCGAGTTGTGTTACCGCATAGGACCCATGCAACGTTCCCCAATGAATGGAACTTTGTCACCATGACATAGACGGGAACGGCTTATTGCCCTGTACTACACGGCGAAATAGAACCACAGTTATATAGTCCAAATTTTGCTCCAATGCAGGCTGAACCTTTTGGATGATAGCTTATAAGTTCAAAGCGGGGATTCGACGTCTTGGTCACCGATTGTCAATTTGCGTTCAATCTTGGCTTCTCCTCGCATAATCGAGGGTAGGGTATAAAACATACTATCTCGCCATGCTACGAGAATATTGGAATTGCTATGACCATTGCTTCAGCTTCACAAACGTTTCCAGTGGTGTAGCCTTTATTTCCGGACCAGAAGTATGTGGAATTTTGACTTTATTATAATTATGTCATCCATCTTTCCTCTGGACCCTCAGCAGATCTGGATCAGGGATGCCTTCTAAATCAAACCCCGCATTTGTCTTGGACTTAGTCACATCAGTAATTTTTTTCCAGTCTTAAGTTTATCAAGTACTTACTCTAATTTAGTCAACAAAACAACCTCTCTATTTTGGACTTCCGCTTATATCGGTAAATTTTTACGGGGCACCAAATATTTTCACATCCACATTTACATCAGTTTAATAGTCATTGAATATTTAAAGATGTATCTACTTCATGCTCACATGAAATTTTGTAAAACTTGTAATTTTTTCTTCAAATAATGCAATTTCATCCTAATACTTGCAAATGGTGTACAAGCTATGATACATCTGCACATTATCCACATCCACTCTGCTTATTCCTTCCAACAAGTTCGTATAAATGTGGCCATGAGAGAAAGGATTTTGCTTAAGTGATACATGAAATGTGATTTACAATCTACAGTCACATTCTAATTTGGCCAAATTGAACAAGAAAGTTATTCGTCAGAAAAAGTAATAATAAAAAGTGCACAAACTTGTCAAATACAGTGATGATATATTGACTCAATGACTTGGATTTTCTCATACCTGATTAAATATGTTGACTTTTAGTAGGATATTTGATGCTAAATTGATTGATTGGCTATGCTGATATTTACTACGCACAATATTTGAAAAAAAAAAATCTGCAACATACAGTACTATGTGTGCACAGTTATAGATGAAATCATATGTTACATATTTGCAAAATATGTAACGGCAACATTTGCTATCTTTTTCATCATACTACAATTTGTTGAAGCTACATGTTTTTCATCCTTTTACCAGAGAAATTATAAATTGATCAGAACTATAGTTTATATTTGTACCGTTAACTTTTGGTGAAACTCACATTTATGAAATAAAGATGGACAAAAATATAACTTGCAATAGTAGTCTGGATGGAGACAGTAACATCTCGATATTATCAATCCAACGCATTGAGTATTTAAAAATAATCACTATTTCATGCAAAAGAAATCAATAATAACGTCATTTTATGCATGATTAGTATACAATATACTAAAGGGAGAAATATTCATGCTTATGTTAAATTTATAATTAAATGAGTCTATGCATCTATGAATATCCACTCGATTACTTTGAAAACGTGTTGGATACAAATTATACAAGGGGCGTTTATACCTCAAAGGTTATTCATGTTAGCAAAAGCTCTATAATACCCATCACTTAATTACTATATTAGTTAAACTTTTCATTTTTCCTCTCGTTGAAGTTAAATAAAGTGAGTTCAGAAGAAAAAAAAATTGTAGAAAAGAAAATGGCATGGGCATAATTGACATGAAAGATGTAGGAATATCGATAATAAAGAAATCATAATTAGAAGCTAAAGGAGTGTTTAGTGATTTTTAAAGAAATTACATACGATAGTGGGTATGTATAGTACCACAAGTCTATACGAGAGGAATAAGTTCTCTTTAACCAAGCGTCTGTGAACCCTCTAAGGCATCGGCACTTTTAAAAACAAGTGCAATGTCGATAACGTAGATTTGTGATTGAACAGTGATCAAAGGAAGAGAAGAGGTTAGTCGGATCTCAAAGGTTGGACTACAACTTTCAGAGCTTGAAGACTCGGATTCTCGCCGGGTTTTATGAGGAGAAAGTTTTGAAGTCAAGCGAGAGAATCGGGAGATGCCGGCATCAGCGTGCGGTACTCTTCGTGGCTTCCCCCTTGTCCGGATCTGCCAAGCGAAGCGATAGGAGTGCAGGGGAAAACAATTGAATTCGACGCACAGCTCGCAGAAGCAGGCGGGCGGGCGGGCCGGCGTTCAGAGATTGCAGAGACACGGAGCTAACGATTTGCTTACAGATCTGGTGAGACAGAAAACGAACATTCGTCGGGTAGGCTGCAGGGCGGACAGCGGTTGGGTTGAGTGCAAAACGAAGCGGACGACAGAGCAGGGCAGGGCAGGACGGGGATTGACGGATGGGAAGCATTTGCCGATTATGAATGATTGATTGGGACGTGCAAAGAGCAGGGACGAAGGAGGGATATGGTGGACATTTAATATGGAGTCCGAGAAGGCTAGCACACGTAATGTGGTAATCGACTTTCTCTTGCAGGAGCACTATCACCTTACCGCCTTCGAGCTATACCATGAGCTTCTGGAAGATGGACAGGGTGCAGCTGCGACCAAGCTGCACTCATTTTTCTCTGATTCCGACACGTTCCCCTCCGAACAAATGCGAGCCTTACAAGGTGATCGAGCTCGATCTCTGCATCGTTTGTGTTAGACCGCTTTGCCCTTTAGCACTCTTTTATGGAAAACGTGCTCAAAGGAGAGAATTTAGTCCAATGTTTCTCAGTGCGAGAAAGATTCGTTCATCTGTTGATGAAATTCGGAAGCCTGCCTTTCACTAGATGATTTACTGATTCCAGTGACTGCTGAAACGCCCGATCTCGTGCGTTTGGGATCCGATTGAAACTCACTATCTTTTGACATGTCTATCTATGAAATGAGGGAGCATATAACTTATGTGATCCTCTTAGGTTGAGCTTCTCTATCAGCATAAGTAGAAGTGCGCGCGTGAAAAAAATCTCACAATAATTATTCTGTGCAATCTCACTTGATAATATCTTTTGCGCGAGCTACTTTTTACGAACATTGCCAACTTAAGAAGCGTTTCAACCAAGCAATGAAGATTTTTAAAAGCAATACCATAAGCGGCGAAACCATAAGGTATCCTGACTTGTTAGACGTTTCTCACAGGAATCGATGCTCAGCTACTCGCTGATGAAAAAGAAGCAGCCATTGAGAGGGCAGCTGTCACCGAGTATGAGCTGAGACTTGCCCGAGAAGACATTAAAAGTCTTCAGGAAAAATTGGAGAGAAATTCTGAAATTTCTGCGGTGGCATCCGGTAATGAAGTATTTTTTGCTTCGGTTTTAAAATCCTTCCAGTATTCACGATTGAAACATCTTATGTAAAAACTTCCTGGATACTATTTGACCTTTTCCCTAAAAATCGCCTGGAGAGCCTAGTCAGTAAATGCAGTACGGCTATTGGAAAGTTGTTTTCATACTTCTACTTGTTGACGATGTATAATTGTTCGCTAAGTATTTAAAGATGTACTCTTATGATGAATTGAAAATTCAACCTATGTACTGACTTCTTCTGCTTCGTTAGTAGAATCTGTTGCCCCTACAACTGAAGAGGAAGTTGCTGCTCCGTCGAAGAAAAGAAGCTGTAGAGATCTAGGTCCTCTCGGAGATGGGGATAGAACCGATTTGAATTGTGCGGTCAAGGAATACCTCGTAGCGGCAGGTTACAAGTTGACTGCGATGACATTTTACGAAGAGGTAAAGTCGATAACTGTGTTCATAGAATGAGGATTGTCTCGTTGTCATGGTTAGATTTTAAGTTTCTAGTTTGATGGTGACGGAATATTAGGATTGCTCACATTCTCATGTTGTCATTAGACTACAAAGTCCTCCGCATGAACACTACGCTCTAATACTTTTTAGTGGAGGTCTTTGTGATTTTGCTTGCCCGTTTCGTGGTTACGGTTCTACAATAATGTGTTGCCAAAAATGTAATAAGTTTACTTGTATATCTATTGCTCATACTTTTTACTCTGCTCGTGCCTACTTTGGTTTGATTACCCTCATGAGGAACTACTCCTCATGTTTCTTCGTGAGGATTCATGAAAATACTATCCACTCACATCAATAAGCTTCAGGTTGGGGATCAAGATATGAATCACTGGCGAAATCAGGCTGCACATGTTCCTGATGCGCTGCGTCGATATTATCTTTCATTTCTTGCTTCAACTGTGGATGCAGCCGAGGTAACTGTTCTTCCTACCAGCTCATTTGTTTGACGAGGATGTTTGCGGCGTTATGGTCGACTTGTCTCCATGTTTCAAATGTTTTGTTACCGCATTCCGTTGTTTTGCTTATCAGGAAAGATCATTACTCCTGTCTGAAAATGAGTCCCTTCTCAAAGACAAGGAAGCTCTTGGGGAAGAAGTGTCGTCTCTCACGAAGTCCCTGGAGAGCATCAGGAAGGAAGCCAAAGAGAAAGATAGACAGGTATAAAGCTGACTACAACTCAGTTCACATTTGTGTCGCTTTGTTTAGTGGAAGGAAACTTATATTCTTGGATTGAACACGGGGAGCTCAGAAGTTGTGTCCTCAGTCAGCAAGAAAGGCGTAGTTTGGTGCATTGCACTGCTTTGACGACATTCCACGCCTTTTGTCTCTATGAAATCTGAGTTTCTTCATGGAGGTTTGTGATGAGTATATTAAAGCTTTTCTTGGCTGAATCAAAAAGCTGCAGATATGTGATATTAAAACTGTAGCTTGTAATCATAGGAACTTACCTACGAGGTTGTATCAACAGATTCGGCAATTGAGGGAGTCGTTGGAAATGACCCAAAAGGAGTTGAATGTAAACAGAGCGGAAATGACATCATTGAAACTTGAGCTTGAATCCATGATCTCTGGTCGAAATCACGAGAGGTCTCAATCAGGAGATATTCCTGCTTTGGAGGAGAGACAAATAGATGTCAATGGAAAAGCAGCTGACTCAGTCCCTAGGGAGGATGTAGTCAATGAAAGTCCAGTTACTCAGTCTGGACCCATTTCTTCTACGACCGATATGAGCAAAGAAACGATGAGCTCATCTGGAACTCTTACAAACGTCTATACAGAAAGTAATGGCGAAGATGGGTATAAAAGTATGCTGACCTCCGACGAACTCAGTTCTCACGAGACTAGACGAGATTCAGTTGACGAGAAACATGAGACAGTAAGTCCAGTTTGTCACATAGTGATACTGTATCTGCATTCATTTTTCACTGTGGCATGGATATTGAGGGCTTATTTGGTCGCTGATGACGTAACTTCCATTTTTGGAGAGATATACGCTGCATACATGGCTACCAGCTGGTGACTTACTTGCAGAATGATCTTCTTAGGTCATTTCTAATTGTACAAGTCTGATAGCTTTGCCCATGCTACTGACCATTACCTTTTTATGCTGGCATGAATATTACTCTGTTTCACGGTTTGTTGTCAGGAGCTTCAGACTGTCCAAGTACTTGCCGATACGCTGCCAAAAATTGTGCCCTACGTTCTAATCAATCATCGTGAGGTGCGTAGACTTTTTCATCTAGCGAAACGTGACGCTTCATATTATCTTCTAATATGAAGCTGTGTAGACTTCCGAGGGGCCTCGTATATATTTTATCTTTTTCATGTTCCAATACATAGTAGCCGGTGTTATTTTCTCTCCTTTTCTCCCATGGATTAATGGAGATCTTGTTGTATCTCCATATTATTGTGAAAGAGGCGCTGATTTGATCATTTAATTGTCCTGCCAATATTGAAGGAGCTGTTGCCACTCATAATGTGTGCTATAGAGCGTCATCCAGAGCACACAGTCCGAGATTCTCTTACTCATACTCTCTTTAATTTAATCAAAAGACCCGATGAGCAACAACGAAGAGTCATCATGGACGTGAGTGCCAACTACAGAGTTGTTACTTTTAGAGGAAGTTGATTGAACTCGCATTCCTTTTATCATACAGAGGGAGGCTATTGATGTCAGCAAAGAGGATTCAGCATATTGAGAAGTTATACATAGTAGAACGATTGTCTTAGAATCAAATTGAACTATGCATACTGGAAGCACCTGTACTAGTCCTCTTCGAAGTTGTGTTAATGGACGAAGACCTGCGACTTGATTGTGCAATAATTTAAATGAATAATTTGCAAACAGGCATGTGTCTCTCTAGCGAGGAACGTTGGAGACATCCGTTCAGAAACAGAATTGCTGCCTCAATGCTGGGAGCAGGTTAGTTTGTGTTGCCTGTTTATGAAACGAGTGAAATAGTGCCAGCTGCTAGAAGCGTATCTACCACAACCCCTCTTTCACATTGAGGTTTATAAGCGTTTGACTCCAAAATTTGTTAGATAAAATGTTTATTATATCCGCTTGTCTTCAGCTGATCTCGTTCTGTTGATATAAACTTCGAAGGATGAACTGAAGAATAAGTGGGTGTTTTTGTGTAATACAGATAAATCACAAGTACGAGGAACGAAGAATACTAGTGGCACAATCTTGCGGGGAACTTGGGCAGTTTGTGAGAGCAGAGACGCGTCCTTCTTTAATTCTGTCCATCATTCAGCAACTAATTGAGGATGAGGCTACGGTAGTGCGAGAAGCGGCTGCGCAGAACTTGGCTCTTCTGCTGCCACTTTTCCCCGACTTGGACAAGTTTTTCAAGGTCAGCCTTGCTAAGGGAGCAAACATGGAGCAGAAAACTGCGTTCTTCAAAAGATGGGTGGCAAAGTAAGCACCTAGTTGCAATGTCAAAGAATGCTAATCTGTGCTCTCGGTCGTTTGCGTGACAAACGTGCATTCTACTGTTACATATTTTCAGTACCTACATACTGAGGGCACGTTAATCGTTATTTGGCTGATAATAAGAATTGTGGTGTGTTGGGGTACGTTATTTCTGCTCCTAGTTCCGCTCGCATTCCATGCACTTTTCAAGCTAACTGAAGCAGTTCCTGGATGTAGGTTGAGGAGCTTGTGTTTCAGCTGGTCTGCGATCCAGCTGGTATTGTGGTTGAGGCCAGTCTGGAACAGCTGATTCCAGCTGTGGTGAGGTGGGCTAAGTCTGAGAAGCAGCTCATACACCATCTCTTGAGTGCGCTCATCTCTCGTCTCCTCGGCTCAGTTCAGGTAACACATAGTTAGTCGTTGCTTTCAGAGATTGATATAACATTTGACTAGTACCGTTGATTTCCAAATCATTGCTGTAAGACACGTTGCCGGTGCTTTGAGTTTCTGAGATCACAGTTGGCGTTTGGCAGCGTTGTCCACCTCTATCAGGTGTGCAGGATTCTCTCGAGTTCCAACTTCGTATCTTGGGAGAAAGAGAACGATGGGTTTCGGATGTGTTGTTACGACTGCTGACGCAACTTCTACCAGAAGTGCGGCGAGTTGCCATAGAAAGTTGTCCATTTCCAGATATATTTCCAGAAGAAGAAGAGGAGGCTTTTTTCTCCGATGAGCTTTTGGGGTTGTATGCAAGGTACTTATTGCAAGTATAGCTCACGGGCTTTGAGGGTTGAAGCAGAAGGATGTGTCATGCGTAGGTACATGCTGTTTCTGCTTCTCTAGGTTATCTCATGTCTTCTTATGTCGAGTTTCTCGTCAGTGAAGGTAGCGATTTCGCGTCAAGTGATATGTTGGATCATTTCTTAAATGGATCTGACTTTCCCACTATTGCAGCATGATGTCCATAGAGGCCATCCCATCTGTCAAGACAAGGTTTACAAAGAATGCACTTACTGAATCTCCTCTTGATTTTGCAGGGCAAATCTACAGTGGCCTGATTTTGACTGGTTACCAGAAGACTGCTTTCCAGCTTTGTTACATCTAGCATGCATGCTCCCGCCTAGAGAAGAAGGTTTGCGGTCACGATTGGCCAAGGTTAGTCTGCAGATTCTGCTTTTCATAAGGTTCCTTCTTCGATGCTTGTATACAGCTACTTTATAGATTTTATTGATACACGGAAGTTAAGTCAAGGTCAGTATACGAGCTCAAGCCTATCGCTGTGTGCTAGGAATATAGTATTTGTGCTACTCAGTTGTCGCTGCGAAATGTCCTTCTGCCAATACCAGTCAGATTTTTTCATTGGGCATACGACCTTTCTAATCTGCGTTAGAAGCTTAAAAAATTCCTTTTTAGTTGATCGTGCCAGTTTTTTCTGCACAGCTTCTTCTTACTGCGAGCAATCTATTTGGCGGGGCATACTTGATGTCAATAGTACTGCCGATTTTCCTGATGGCTGCTGGTGATTACGCTGACACGTCACACCTATCATCCCGTCTCGCCAATAGGATCAAGGGTAAGACACAATATCAATAGTGTCAGAAGCTTAGATTGGCGCCTTTACTTGCAGCTGGTTATAGTCATTGTTGCTTATCCAATTCTCACGACAGGTAGATACTTCACTTAATTCTTCACAGCAAAAACCTCAGTATGTGGCATCATTTAAGTACCTAACAAATTTGTTCGGCATAAGGGTTCTACATGACGTCAATCGTAGTTTCAATAGTGGACTTGAGTATGTTTTGTAAAACCTATTGGTTGCCATTGTACATAAAAGAAACGTATGCTTACTATCGCCTTTCAATTGCAGGTTTCAAACCATTGACACCAAGAGCAGAGCAGTTGGCTCGCACTTGTGTTTTACCTCTACTTCTGGCTGGAGTTTACGGTGCTCCGAACATGAAAGAAGGTTATCTTGCCGAGTACTTGAAGAATTTGGTTCTGCAGTCGAGTGTCAAGCAAGGGGCTTGGACACCTGTTCACACACCTGAGCTTATCGACGCAGTGAGATTCCTTTGGTACTATTCTGACTTTTCTTCTCGACACCATTTGCCCAGATATTGAAGCTTCCATAGGTGGTCGTCACAGGCTCGAAGTGGAATCTTAGCATGAATCTGTCCGATCTAGGTTTTAGACTTTGACCAGAGGAGAAAATCTTAGTTGAACAAATACTCTCGAGACACATGTTCAAGTAGAGCAGGAGTGACAGAAAGGAATTCAGATAAAGCTGGAGTAGTCTAATAATTGGTTCTTCCTCGAACCCTGAGTTTTGAGGCCTCTCAAAATGCCTTGCTTCGTTGCAGCACCTTCAACCAGCAACACACCGTGATCGTTGGTGTTTTATGGGAGCTAGTTGTGAATCCAAATGCAAATGTGAAATCTACAGCTGCTGTTCTTTTCAAAGCACTTGTAAGTCTCACAAATCACCTCTATTCACTTGATTTATGCATGCCGGGATCTGTAGAGTCTCCTCTATAGTGGAAGTGAATTCGAATGTGCACCGTACGACCGTAATTTACTGTATTGGGTGACTTTCGTCATTTGATTAGATTGCTGTCTTCATTTCCGATTGGCTTCTGCTAGCTGAAGTTCGCAATATGGACATTCATGCAGGTTCCATATGTGGACTTGAAATTAGCTCAACAACAGGTTTTACCCGCCCTTGTCACGTTGGGATCTGATCCAAATTTGGATGTTAAATATTCTAGCATCGAGGCTTTCGGCACCGTTGCCCAACACTTCAAAGACGAAGCGGTGAGCGTGAAATATCAATTTTGAATGAATTTGGAAGTCTATGTTAACTTAAGTATCTATCCATGTTTTCTCCTTGTTTGAAGCCCAGAAATGTACAACTCGTTAGCCGTACTAACGCTTTACAGAAATATGGAAGATGATGTAAGGTTTCCAGAACCTTGTTCTTATAGCTGAATTTGCTCTCTCAGAAGTCTACGTGTCTTTCTTTGCGGTATACTAGAGACATGTTGGACACTGTACTACTCGATTTTGTCCCGTGAGCACTTGCCCTCTGGGTTCGGATCTGGTTATGTAATTTGCAATTTTAATCAACTTCCTGTTTCGAGCTTCATGTATCAGATTTCAGTATCTCTAATGATTGATATCTCCGGGATTCACCGGTAAGCAGAGGCTCTTGAAACACCCTCTTTGTTGACGTTCCCAGAGTCGATTTGTTGTTTTGCAGGTTGTTGATAAAATTCGGGTTCAAATGGATGCATTTTTGGACGACGGAGACCATGAAGGAACTGTTGCAGTCATGCGCGCTCTTGCAGCCGCTGTACCTCATACAACACCTAGCCTACGTGATTATATCCTTTTTGCACTTTTCTGGCACACTTACTACTTTGGTTCATGCATGACAGGTTTCAGTTGTTCTATCTTCTTATTGTTTCTTTCTATCTAGTATGTTTCCTTCGTACCTTTCAGACCGAACTTCGGATTTTGAGTCGCTTCGTCTCTTGCATGCGTAGCCCCAAAGGCTGATCATGTTACTATCTTACTCGTATATTAGCTGATGTATATCAATCATAAGTTGGGATCTTCTTGAACGTTTCACACGCAATAATAATGGAAGTATGCTTTTCTTGTATAAATGTACCTGTGTATCCTCGAAAATAAACTATCTTTTAATTCTTCACTGATTATCAGTTGAGCTCAGCGCTGAGCTCAACAGTGGTGCCCTTATTTACAAGGCAGTGTGCTTATCTTGAGTGCTCTCTCGATGGGGTATATATTGTTGCGCACATGAAATTTGATTAAAACTTAACCTACAGATTACATTTGCTGCAAAAGCTTGCCATGCTATCAGGTGCAACTACGCAGGGAACAACTCTTATCCGCAGGCGAGAGAAAGTAGACGTCTTTTGTGAGGCTATTCGAGCTCTTGACGCCACTGGTATGTTTTGACTTACGTGATTAATCTCAGCTTCAGTTTATATTGATGTAATGCTAATCACTTCATCAAACGAAGTCCAAATCTTACCTCAAATTTTATAGAATCATTACAAATCTACTTAAATTGGATAGTTATTACTTTTTCTGTTGATCGGGGCTCTATTTAGACCCGAAGAAGATGTATTGACTGAGTGAGATGGTGGATTGCAGAAATATCTGCAGGGAATGTGAAGGATCTTCTTCTTCCTACTATCCAAAATCTGCTCAAAGATACAGATGCTCTGGATCCAGCTCACAAGGAAGCACTGGAAGTTATGCAGAGAGAAAGATCTGGCGGCCGCTTGGAGTCAATTAGTAAACACCTGAAGAAAACCTCCATGGGAGGTCTGTTTGGAGAAGGTGGATACCTTAGTGCTCCAGGTTCTCCAAGCAGTGCTACAGCATCAGCTCCTGATAGTCCCCAACCAGCGCCTTCTCCACAGCCGGAGGAGGGTCGACTGAAGCGCATGATGCGAGCAAATTTTGGAGAAATGATAAGAGGCAAGAGTTAGGAATAGACAGGTTAAGGGCATTGATTATGCGAATTGCTGTGCCTGTCAATAAGCAGAGGAAGGAAAAAGACGAACATTCGATAGTGAAAGCTGCTTCAATCCAGTCGCATTAACAGAACTTTCTTCTCTTCGCACGATGACTTGTACGATGAACGTGCTTTTTTGGGACAATCAGGAGGTGAGATTGTTTGATCGACCTTCTGTTTTTTGTGTGGAGAAGTCGGTAAGAGTGAGACAGAATTTAGCGTGGGGTAGGACATGCCAAGTATTTCAAACCTGTACGTATCTGAGTAAATTTGATCAAGTCTTAGAATGACACTCCCGATGTAAAGTCAAACAGATGGTACCACGACTGCCTGCGGACGTGTCTAAGCTGGTCTGTTCCTACCTGATCTTGTTGTATTCCTCAATTTTATAATAACCTCAACATGGGACAATATTTTTTCGAATAACAGAAAGGACTGCCAGTCTTATGCACTCTTCATATGTTTCAAATGTGGAAGATTAAACATTTACCGAAAACGCCCTGTGGATGCTTTCTAGTCTGTCTTAAAATCAGTGGGGACATATCCGGCGTGGCTCCCAGCCCCTGACCTGCATAGCCCTACTCTAAGAAGACCTTCTGTAAGTTACGTAGTTAGCTATATGCCATCGTGAAGTAAAGCAGCATTTTTCGACATTAACAGTACAGTATTGGAACACAGGACGTAGGATAAGTACAAGACATAGATAGACACATCCGTAGTGTTCCTCAATGTAGATGACCTGCCCTTATGGCAAGTTTTTTACACAACGGAAACCGTCCGACAAGCAGGTACAATCGTCCACCCAGAACTGGTTAGGGATAGGACCCAGTTCTCAAGAGATTGCACTGAAAAATATATCACAGAGATACGGAGGCACGTTATTGATGGTGATTCAATCTACAGAAGGCACAGTGGCAAGCAGGTGGAAACAAAAACGTGACAAAAGTTATGGACTGACAAGTCAGACACGAGAAACTAGGCACAACATATAAAGCTCGATATCTCACAGGGGCTAAATATTGCAATGTTAGTGCATTAGATCTCCTTACAGTTGAGAGAAAAAACTAAGCGACGATCAAGGGCAGGTAGTTCAGAAACGCCCGATGAGTTCCTGGACATGCGTCCATTGAGCTCACTTTCATCTCTCCTGTTCTGTGCATTGGTGTAACAGCTGACCTCACTCTCTCAATCACTTTACAGACATGTTCTTTCTCGGTATGCAGCCAAGAGCGAGAGAATATATGATGCATGGCTCAAATGAGCTCCAATGAGTATCATACAAGTGCCTCTGACACGTACTTTTACAGCTAAGCAAAAGCACACTTTGTATCCATCACTTACAATAGGCCAGGTGCCGAATGCCGTCGAGCATTAAAATCTGCCTGTTCGGCAAAGTAAAAACAAATTCAAACCAGGAAAAAGCCTACAACGTAGTCCAAAGCTGGCTTGTCCACGTATTACTGTACTACTTACTATATTAGGAGCTTAGTACCAAAATAGAGAGACAAATCTGAGGAGGAAGAAAAAGTGGGCAGAAAGAATACGAATCGAAACGATCACTCGATAGATGGTTCAGACCATTACTGGATAGATTATTCCAGGCCATTGCAGATCGGTCACTGGTCAGTTGAGAATTCAGAACGTCTAGTTCGAGGTTGAGCTTGTGAAGTAGACTAGACTTCTGAGGGACGTAGGGACAAAGATGGATGGAAGTATGTGGGAGTACAGTCTTCCTTTCTTTGACGTTTTATGGCTAGGAATTGTAAAGTTTTTTTTTGCATTAATTCGTGCACTTTATCAATGCGAGGTAAAGCGTGGTATGTCTGCAGGTTCATGATACTACCCGGTTTCTACACCCAACACCCTCTACTGCTTTTTAGTGAATTGTTTCATGGGTGAAAGTAAAACCAGTTACGGGATCCTGAAAAGATACCCGGTAAGTGTATGGGATTAATGTCATTCCTTCAACAAACAAATTTGTCACAAATTACAGTTTAAACAAACAAAAAACTCTCAGTTTTGGAGTATAATAAGAAAATATCTTTGTATGGATTTACTCATAGAATTTGCTTAAGGAACAGATCATTTCCACGGTAGAAAACATATGCAACGCGTGATTGAATTTGAAAAAAAAAAATCAACTTTTTTCCATTATTTATATGGATTTATAAAAATTCCCTATTGTACTTGTAAACTGCTGGTCCAAGGGCTCTTTACATATCTTAAGAGCCCTATCCGATGTCCACAATCGCAAGTTCCACTGATTACTTCTGTCACAAATCTGCGAGCAGAGTCCAAAATTCTGAATGGGCCACCGTCATATAAAACGTCTGAGATCAACAAAAGTTCATCCAAGAATTCCATGTCGACTTTACATGGTTGTGTCGGGCTAATAGCTTCAACGTCATTATTGCATAATGTGCTAGCATCCATCTTAGCACACATACTTACAACTCCTGGCTGTAACACTTTGCGCTAAAATCGCTTTTATCGGTTATGAAAAGTTTTCAAACTTTCAAGTGTTGGGATGGAGCACTTCGTTACGTAAATTGTTCCTCACCTTTGTCCCCGTTGTCTGTTCTGACTTAATATTGTAGGTTCATCTTTATTGGCAGAATATCCTCCACGTCAGGAAATAACTTCGTCTAAATCTGAAAGATGAACTCAGAGACTAAACCAATTCTTACTTGTTCCATCGAACAAAGGAAATAAAAGTGGGGCACAGTAAATATCAATACGATGGGAACACCCTATCGAGTACAACAAGTGACCAAAGAAACGTGAGAAAACTGGTTAGGACACATAGTATCGTGATGAGAATATATCCTACAACACCTACGATAGCCTAACTCTCAATATCAATATACATCGATCTACAAACAAAATCTTACTTGTTCATGTAACAAAAAAAAGAAAATGGGACCACATGTATGCCAAAAGACTGGATTTAAAGGCAAACTATCTCTAGAAAAACCTACACATGACAAGATACAAAAGGCTAGCGTTGCATTTTTGTTGGATCCAATTTTTACTTCTATATTGCACTATGTTAATGCAACTTATTGTACATAGTTTTTTATTCTTTGGCCTTTCTTTGGTGAATATTAAGCTGTGTTTACTTAACTAACTTCATGTACTTTTCGATTATTCCAGAAGTGTTTATCAAATGGAAGTAGTGGTATCTAACCTTGAAATAATCGCACTTATAAGGAGAAAATGGTTTGATGTAAGTTGCAGGAACTGATTATCATATGATAATTTATAAATCATTTTTTTGAGAGCATGATAATCATCAAATAGAAAAAATAATGTAAACTACATCAATTGATTATGTGGGTGAAACCAACAAGTAAAATGTAATAATAATATAACAGTAATATAACAACTAAAATGAATTCTCACTGAGAATATTTTTTCCACCATCAAACACACTTAATCAATCTAGTAAAATGATTTACAAACCACAATAGCATTAAAATTTCATGAAATCTACGTTTACCTCGTTCAAGCTAGTGACTTTATTTGAGTCCAGAATACAAATAGTTTAAAATTTATTTAATTAGCTAGAAATATGTATATCTTGCATCATCTATTACCAAATATTTTGATGAAAATCGTGAAGTTGATTTTGATAGCTTTGCAACACTCCAAAGCCCAAAACAAAGAACCTATTTTTGTAAATATTACATTGTGTTTTAACATCTTGAATAATCACTCTTCGAAAGCAATGTCATGTATGATACCCAGAACCAAATTAATGCTCATAACGTCATATAAATCAAAGCAAGAATTTCAAAGAGATTAACATTTAGCATACCCTTGAGTTTTTTATGTTTGCTATCATATTCATGTAAATGTGATTATCACTATTATCATTAGCATACATTGAATAAATTATTTTTAAACTTGAATTGAAAGCATTGCATACAGATTATCATGCATTTTAATTTAATATGCTAACATTTAAGCTTAAAAATTGCCAACCTTTTTTGTTGATAAAAAATTGGATGTATACTATACGTTCTTAAAAAAATTCAACATACATTTATTACAATGTATGCATAGCACATTATATCATACATCGTGTTCGCTACAAACATATCATCATATTCATATGAACATATACAAGTGTGCTTTATTAGTAATATTAACTCTCAATAGGATTAGGTTAAACACTATGATAATTATCATGGCACAAAAGAAAAATGAATGTCTAGTGAAACACTCTTTGGTGCTTCATTTGATACAAGTTTCTACACTAACTACTTACGGATCACAACAGGATGCTCGAAGGTTGAAGTTCAAAAATTAAAGCATGCGTAATCCTGCCTTAAAAGATGTATGATAACTCAGCCCTCATGTTTCTATAACCGTATTCCAGTGCAAATGGTGCGTAGAGTGAACTCTAATTGTTGTATCTGCTTTGCACATGCCCATTTATCTATACAAGGATAATTTTACTATAGAATTAACTTGACAAAGAAAATGCAATCCAATATATTATGGCAATTACCATAATATCCTATGATACTACCTCGCAATCTATGATGAAACCTCCTAGTGTGACGAAAGTAAATGTGAACAAAGATTCTACTAGAAGTAGAAAGACGGTGGATGAAGATGCTCCTACATATTTCCTTTAAGCTGGTTGTGATAACCTGATCCTTATCAGATATTGTACCACGATGAAACATGTGAGCATTTTACCGCGTACAATCATAGTTTGAGTAATACAAGTTAAAATTGTGGTACGGTGAAATGAGACTCTCCCAACTTTGATTATCCTGGGTTTATGGTTCTGAAATCACCTTTTATATGTCAGAGTTGCTGATTTGTTTGCTGATATTTTCAAAACCTGCATGTCGTATTTATCGATGTGTAGTAGGTTCTGAAAGGCTGCCAAGATTTGAGAGCAAAACTTACTTACAATGACCACGTCAACGTGATTTTAGTACAAGATACTTCTCTCTTAATAGTCTCTCTCTTAATAATCTCTCTCTCTTTGTAGAGTATGTTTCGGACTGGATGAAAGTCTTAGCAAAAGCACTGCCGACCTGCTTGGAAGTAACGGGTTCAAGTAGCATTACATGTTAGATTATGGCATGATGTGAGCCAATCCCAGAATTGAACACATGATGTGGTTCAAACCAGTCCTATTTGAGCACAAGTGATACAAACTACTTCATACATATGGCTATGAACTCAATTTTTATACGTATACTTTATCACTGTGATTTCCATTTTCCGTTCAATCCTCATCCCGGGATGTGATGGTCTTATTCCACTGTTACAAGGCTGTTAGTCAAGGCTTAGCGTAATCATGACTTGAATATGTTTCATTACTGTGTACAGAATCTGGAAATATTATGTGTCTTAGAGACAAGGCAAAACTAGAGAACAGTTTATTCCATTTGCTTTAATAAAGTTGGACTAAATCGTAGTTTGGAGACTACTCTGACTTATAATATATCTGCAAACTGATGAGGCGATGACTAATGCGTATGAATAATCCGACCATCAGATGAAGTCTTATAACTACGCACATTTATTCTCTAAGTCAAGTCAACATTAATGTCAATCGAAGTGCCTCTCGCGCAGCGCATGACAAATGATGTAAGAAGCAAGAGGAAGATGTGGAAAGAGAATTACAGAATATTGAACATGATCCAACAAGCTATGGTCCAGGGGCAAGTCGTCGTCGCAGGCGAATTCGCAATACTAGGGCCGCAGGAGGAGGAGATCACGGAGGCGGAAAAGATTGCAACTTCTTCTATGGGAGGACGAAAAGGAAAGGGGGAGAACAGGAAAAGTAAGGCGCACACACGATGCAGGAATGATTATAATGGAGACGGGAATAGGATAGGGGCAAACCAAATCGGATAGCGGAGCAGAGCGGAGATGCTAACAGAAAAGGGAAGGATGCTGATGCTGGCGCTGGCTGGTGCTGCGTGCGTCAGGAGGAGAGAAAAGGACGGCGCGTTTGCCGTGGTGCTGGAGGGCCCGCCAGCCCGCCCGCCCTCCAGCACCACACCCCAAATGCATACGTATAGATCTGACTCCGCGAAGCCACGGCGGTGCTCTGGCTCCGTCTGGCTTGTGCTTGGTTGGAGCCTTGAGCTCGGCCGGCCGGCAGGCCAGGAAGGACGACATGGCAGCGAAGCGAGGAAGTGCCTGGCCCGACGAGTCCCATAGTGCGGTGGGTGGAGAGGGTTTGGAGAAAGCGAGAGGGAGAGAGAGAGAAGAGTGATAGTTTGTGCTGTTCTGTTGTAGTGGGTGCCCTGCCTGCGGGGGCAGGACAAAATAGTTCCTCGTATCCAACTGTCTCCAAATTTGGCATCGATTTTAGATTTCCATTTGGTTTCCTGTAGATTTGGTTTACACTGCCCTGGCCGAGGTGGGATCTCGGTTGGAGACTGGAGGGTAGGGAAGGGGAGGGGAGGGAGAGCAGGCGCAGCTGCAACGGAGGACGGAGACGACGTGAGAGGGAATTCGAATAGTCTGGTTGGAGGTGCATTTGATTGGACAATCGCAAGGGAGGACTGGCTCCGCTGCTGCTGCAGAGTGCAGTGCTGTGCAGTCCAGTGCAGCCCGGGCGAGCGAGGGTCCCCGGCTGAGAAAGTTCCGTCATTGTAGGAAACGCGGTGGCGTCCGGGATAGTACACTCGCACGCCTCGTTTGCGAGAACAACCATGTCAGATGCTGCTGTGCGCTGCACAACATTCGGAAGTCGACGTTTTTTTTCTCCCCTAGCTGCTCTCGGCGTCCTCTTACTGACTTTCTCGAAGCTTTAGGTTATTTTCGTCGAGCATATCGCCTTGGAGCAACGGGTTCGGGCTCCCCTCTCACCTTCCCGGGTGAGCTTCCCTTCAGGCGTAGCAATTTCTCTGTCTCTTTGTAACCCCGAGTTTTTCATGGGTGGAATAGGAATTGGATCTTGGTGTGTTCCAACTCGCTCTGCATTCTGAGTTTCTTCCCTGTCTGTCCCCTCTGCCCTTTCTTCGTTTCAACTCCATCTTCGAGGCCAGGAGCTTGGCAATTGCGCGTGCCTCTTATACTCTTTAGTTAAACAGAATTGCAACGAAGTGTGGAGTAACAAGAACTCTTACAGCTACAGAATGCAGATTAGTTCAGGCGGATCTTCTACTGTAATATCTGTAAGAAGAGCTGGCAACGGGCAGTCCCATCCAATCTTACGTCGTTTTCGAAGGAAGTCAGAAGGCAGAGTCTATTCAGGTGCTGGAAGCAAATTAAACAAGCGGAGAAAGGAGATATCTGGAGTGTGTGTCGTTGACTGTTTTTGTTATCATCTGGATTGCATGACAGAATGGTTTGTGCTCGAGCAGATACTCCACAGGTCTAGCTGCGGTGGTCAATCTGAGTTTACAGCATTTGAAGCTAGTGGAATAGCCGACTTTAGTGCAGCACACTAGAACGTATTGGCAACCGAAGAACTTATGACATTGGCTCGTAAGCCGCTGAACGGTGACGAATGTATATGGGGAGCCTTGTTACTTTTCGTTTCACATCTGAGACGGTCGAAATGGTTGCGCAGACCGCCTTGCTCAGCTCTTGATCTTAAGGCTGAAGAATTTGCGAGTTAAACATAATTATCAGTTCATTTGTTTCTATCCGCATTTGTAAATCTGATCGTGAATTTTCTCGCAGGTGAGCTAGCTACATTTCTTGGAGTCCAAGTTTCATGGGCGTAAACTTCGTACTTGGATGATTATCGAGTTGACTCAAGGAAAGTATATCAAAAGTTGAGGACATGAATATGCCTTAAATGGCGGATTTGAAGGCAAAAAATGTGAAGCCGCTGCTGCATACGGAAAAAAGTGCGGGTCGCACTTTTGATCTCAATTCGATTGCCCAAGGGGCCAATGGCTCACATGTAAGTTGTAAGACATGTGCTTGGATTTGAATGGTACCAGGTCACAATTTCCAGGACTGAAGTTTTTCCACGGAATGTTGCGGATTAGATCGCCTCGCTTGTATTGCTCAATCGACTTAAACCAGCCGATCAGGTCCTGATCTTATTACATGGCAGACGGCACGAGGCCTCGGTTCTCAAATCAGATGAAGTCGCGGATATGTTCCGTGCTGATGGTTGTAATTTGATAGTATCAGATCGAGTTCGAGGCAAAAAATAGAGATCTTAAATGGTCTAAGCTCTGTAGCGGGTTGTTGTTCCAAATATTCAAAATGGCTCTACATTTGGTATTTCGTTTATATTTAAAATTTTTCTAGCTGCTACATGTGTTTTACCATAGGTAGCACGTAATCTTTTGAAAACCTACTCAAATTGCTGGAGGACGGTTTTTGATTCAAGGCCAATGGAAGGCTTCAATTAGCCTTTCATAATGTTTGATGAGGAGTAGTCAATTTTCAAGTAGTCGTTATAATTGTTATTACACTTCGAGTGCCCAAGTCAATCTCTACTAGGGGCTTCTGTACTTTTAACACAGCTTAGATTGGATACGAGAATTAGATGGACGATTGACTGGTGTTCACCACCCTAATTAGCCCATGAACTTTTAGGGCCTTTTATGAGGTTACTTTATCATTATGGCTCAGGTTTCTAACAAGTTTGGTGATGGTCCAACATTTGGATGCATGTAGGTCACGAATACGGAAAGAGCCTGTCGGGTGACTGTGAACATTTTCGATGCACGGAACCTTAGAAAAAGGGAAGTAGGACCAGATGCGAAGGATCCAGTCTTCAAAGTGAAACTGGAGAAAGTTACCCAGCGATCGCGTGAGGTTGTGGATCTTTGTCTTGCCTTATTTGTGTGCAACATGAATAAACTAAAGTGTTCTTGCTTATGAATATATCATCAGGCCATATCTGTTCGGGTTTATCAAGTTGTTCATGATGTATTGAGATCAACCAGTGTGGGGCACAATTTTGTTGTACAAACTATTTTTCTACAAAAGGTAATGACTATTTTTCCGTCACTTGCAGATTAAGACAGTTTTGGACGAGCATGGAAATATTCGAGTAAATCAGAGCTTCACATTCGATGTCAAAGACGTGAAGGTATTGCCCATGTTTCCTCGTTTTACAAGCAAGTTATCTTTTGCTCGGACTACTATGAAGTACAAACGTTGTACAGCGCAGTCACGCTGTACACCGTTTGTAAAGGTTGAATTGCTCACGTATGCTAATTTATGGATTTGATCTGACTCATCAGACTGCTGTCCTCTCGGTACATGTGGTGGCAAGAGGCCTGCTGGGTCTCGAGGAGTCACTGGGAAACACTCGGGATACCAGAATTACGGACCTGCTAGATGACGACGCGAGTAATATACATCACCTTTCAAGTTGATTGTGATTTGTCTAACTGCCAAATATGCAGATACAAATAAGCATCCACGTCACTTGATCTAATAATATCTATGGATTCCTGAGACCCGCGCGACTGGTCTTGCATGAACTTTCTGTCTAAAGCAGAAAGCGTTAAACCGCTTGTATCGACACTTCCCTTTCTAGTATCGACAATTCCCTTTCTAGTGCGACTCCCCATGGGCTTTAACTATAGTATGCAACCAGGATAGGATTCAAATGGCAAGATGAAAGAAGTACGAACTTTTTTTTGCTAGTTATTTTAAACTTCGAATTTATTCTGGTTTTCCTTGAGTGTTTCAGGTCAGAAGAATGTAGCCGCTGTTTGGTATGACCTATCCTCCAAGGACGGGTTAATGAAGATGCCTGGAAGGGTACAAATTAAACTTCGGACTGGTTGATTGTTGGCTTGAAGTCAATTTTTTATGATCTGCACTCAGTAGAGTTGTTTAGTGGAAGCTTTATGGATTGCATTCATGAGGTTGGGTCAATATACCTCCGAACGGTTGTCGGGATAATGTTATCGTAGACTCGAACGATTTGATCCGTCTAACAGGTTCAATCTTATGATTGGAGTTTGTTGGAATTTCCGGCACTGGGATGTCTCAACATTACCAGAGCAAGTGGTGAAAAATTGTGGCCCGGCGTTTGCTCCTGGATTCGCATTAAGGATAACATTTGCAACTTTTGAACAGGTCTTGATGCATATTGTGGCTGGGATAGCCGAACCTGAGCAGAAGGTTTCATTGTTTGTTGGAACATGGAATGTTGGGAATTCCCGGCCGGTGAGTCTACTTTCCCCACATACGGAGGTTACTATGTACCTTTGGGAGTTCTCATGTATTGTGGTGTATTTCAGATTGAGGCTCGCAATTCGGAGAAGGCATAATGCTGAATTGATCCTGTCTTGATTTTGTGCAGCCGAAGGATCTGTCTCCTTGGATTCCATCCAACCCTGACTATGAACTCGTTGCAATAGGCTCGCAGGTTTGTAATGCAGCTTACATGGTGTCATTAACTATCCTAAGGTTGTCTAGTAGACAAGAGTACAGCCATGCATTTTCCAGTCAAACACGACATGGATTTTATCATTTCTTTCGTTATTTGAGAAGTTTCTACTCAAAACTTGAAAGCCTTACACTCGAACCCGGTATTATTTATTATTGGTGAGGATCGAATGTTCTTCCACTTATGAAATTTTAAGGGAAGTTTGTGACATGAGGACTTTGATCACACATGTTGAAAGTGGGCGTTGGTTATGGTGTGTTATCTGTTTGCTCTCACTAGGAATGCGATTATCCAGCTCGGCAACCTTTCACAGAATGCGCGAAAGACTGGCTACACACTTTAAGGTAATCTCTACGGCATGATCTCATCTAGTGGGAAATTCATTGTTTAATTTGTCTGTTGAGTAGTCGGAAGATAACATACTGTGAATCTGCTTAATCTTGTGATAGGAATTGGTCTTTCTTGCAAAAGCAGATAACAAGGTCCTTGGCTTACTATTGTACAGCACATGGATTTGTTCCAATTAAGGTGTCGAAGAATATCATCGACTTGACTGTCGAAAGGTCCAGTCTTTCGGCTTGCCCATGGCATAAAAACTTGGAGAATGAGCAGTAGGCTAATTATATGGTTAAAAAAAAACTTTGCAACCACTGACTTACAATTTTCCTCTAACAGTGCACACCTGGGTGGCCGTTATAAATTGGTGCAGTCGACATCCAGAGGCCAGATGCGACTGGTGATATTCGTCCGGTCAGATTCAGAGGTAATATTGAGACTAATGTGTCAAATCTGTTGGTGGAGAGTCACGTTTGTGTATTTCGATTTTGCTGCCCGTATTAGGAGGTGGAAAGAAGACATTCTCAACTTGTCTTCTGGAGTTGGGTGTGTTGAACCCTTGATTCACTGCTCAGGGTTGGAGAATTGCAGAAGGCCATCTCTGACGTGGATAGCGGAAGTGAAGCCACTGGTGTTGGGCATGTGATGGCTAATAAAGGTGGCGTTTGCATCGGATTCAAGGTAATTTAAAACTTAGGCTTGCCATGAGATCACTCTTGAGTCTGTGATCAAAATTTCATAGAATTTTCCTATCGTCATTCCTGTGCTAGTTGGTTTGAGCTACATATAAGCACCTTGGAGGGTAGTTCACCGTATGCCTTTTGAAAGTAGTGTGAGAATTTTATCCCCGTAATTGTTTCGCCAAATATTGCTGTGTCCTAACGAAAGCCTTACATGCTTTTTGTTTATGGTTGAGCAGTTTTGGGATACGAGTTTGTGCTTCGTGAACTCCCACTTTGCTGCTCACGCAGGGCAATGTGAAGCTCGCAATGGCAATTATCGAGGTCGGTGAATCTCTACTTGTCTGCTCATGTCTTTTGAAGCCAGTTTGCTTCTCTAGTACATAGCTAATTTTGATGCACAAGAGCACGAGCAAATGTTTTTATGGATTGAATTGCAATTGTCTCTGCATGGAGCTTTCTTGATTTTGGGAGAAGCTTTTGGGATGTGGCAACTCTTAAATTCTGTTATTGCTCGATCATCTGTCGAAATCTCACAGATCTTTGTTTGGATGTACTGCTCTTAGCGCTAGTCCTCATCATGTCCCAAATACCTGTGCTTGCAGAAATAGCTGGTCAGTTGCGAGTAGGCATGCCAACTATGGACATCCTGAACCAATACCATCATGTCTTTTGGTTTGGTGACCTCAACTACCGGCTGGATTTTTCTCAAATTGCTGATAAGCCGTTGACTCCCGAGTACGTTCGAACCTGTCAATTAAGCCTATAGTACTCGTTTCATGTTCTGGATTGTTGTTAGATCGTCCAGCTCCAGTAAGATGCTGAAGAGTTCCTTAGCGAGCAAGAATGTTTGTTTCATGTGATTTGATTTCTTCGGGATTTGCAGGAGGACGTTCTGGAAAGAAGTGGTCAAGAAGATCCATGCTGGAGAATACAGCGATCTCCTGAAGTATGATGAGGTATTGTCCGGCCCTTCACTGACATCTACAAATGGATGCATGCTCTCCGCTGAAAGCTCAGAGAAAAGCGATATAATAGTTCGCATGCTTAGACTAACCTTTGTGTGGAGGAATGGTGAATGATCTTTATTCCTGATATTGCCATTCCTTTTCTCAACAGCTCCACAAAGAAATTGAAGCATCCCGTGTTCTGCATGGATTTAAAGAAGGGGAGATCAAATTCCCGCCTACGTTCAAGGTCTGTATTTTACCCCCTCCAATTATACTTATTCAAGAACCCTTGATGGTGATGAAGCCTGTGTCAAGTAATTATTGCAGACCAATCTCTAGTCGCGTTATTCTTGCATATGTTCCTCTGATTTTGCCCTTGAAATCCAAAGCGTCTCGCTCTAATTTAATTTGGTTTCCACCTTGAAGATGCAAAAAGAGACTGAGGATATCTACGACCAGAAACGTATGCCAGCTTGGTGTGACCGTGTTCTTTGGAGGAATCTTCCCGGTTGCACTATCAAGCTTGGAAGTTACTTTTCAGCACCTAAACTGATCACCAGGTTTGTTTTCAGCACCTCAAAGATGACCTTACTTACTCAGTGAGTTTACTTAGAACTTGCCCTGAATTACTTTTTCAATGAAATTTCTTCATACGGACCTAGCCGTTACGAGTTTGTTAGTTTTGCTGTAGCAAACATTTTCTCCTGACCTGTAAGATATTTGCATATCTGGAGATTTATCTCGTCTGAGGTCGTATACATTGCAATCTCTTTTTTCTTCCGGTATCTTTTAGTAAAGCTCCCGACCTGTCAGATATTCTTGTTCAATTAGCGCTGGTGTTTATTCGAAGCAAATCCATTTCTCATCCATCTTTACTGGACTGAACAGTGACCACAAGCCCGTCGGCGCCACTTTTTCAATGACGGCGTACGCACTTCCCTCTGCCTTCGTTCCGGCCGGTAATCTGGAGGAAGATGATAAGAGATGGCACATACAGGTATAGTTGTCACTTACAAATCTGCAAATTAGATCAAAATCTACAGGTTCAGTTTTTTTATTATCAAGCTATCGAACCTGTGCTTTTTGACGTAACTTATCGGCCGAAGTGGGATTTTCATGTCAGCTTTTGATTCTTTTTATTGCAGTTCACTTCCTTACGAGCTAAAAAGTTGCGGGCATCTGATATTAACGGGTTTTCTGATCCGTAAGTTACACCTTTTGCACTTGTGCAAACTCTTAATCCTAGCGCAGGAGACCGTGATTGAGAGCCGGCTTCAGTGCCGGCTCTGAATTACTTTTAAATTGAAAGCCTGGCACGTTTTTAATGTGGTGGTGGAGATCCTTCGCATTGTTGAGCACCTCAAACACCGCACTCTTTTCACGCCTGTGAACTTCCTGCTGTCGTATGTTCTAAAGGAGATATCTGTTTTTGTATTCCACCTTTCGTTGTGATTATTTGTTATGTCAACACGTCAAGCAACCTGAATGCTTACCAGCGGCTTCGTTCTTGTTATACAAGTTCTTGTTTGTTCCGTATAGCAGGGTATGTATAGATAGCTAATGGTGGAATAGTTGTGGAAGACCGTACTTGACAGGTTCAGATTTCATTATTTGTTTCCTTATGCATGCTTCTTCGTGTGGATTAAGCTCTTTGGAGGTATATGTTTGATCTCTCCCATAGGTACCGTCCTTAATGCTACCTTCATGTACAAATCATACTGAAAACGAGTATGCTGGTAATGGTTTCGATTTGCCTTCGACACAGAGTGATTTACAGCTGTAATTGAAATTACGCGTTTTTTTTAGGTACGTCTCCTTCGTGGGCCCCAACCTCATCCACGAGTTTCACTCAAGAGTCAAACACCAGACGCTAAATCCAGTTTGGAATCCTATGCAGGTAGGTTGGTTCTCGTGTGGAAGTAGAAGTTGATTTTAAGCGTACTTCCATAGCTTAGTTAGCTTTTGTCTTATCCGTTTTTCACTTACATGAATCGTCTTTTCTTTTATACGCCAGGAGCTCCCAATATTGGTGTTGAATGTTTTTCCACTCCAAAGACTAGAGAGAGAATACGTGCTTGTCAGGGTGCTTGATCGGGATTACACATCTTCCGATGATACACTAGGTATGATTCGCGCGCCTCAAGATACTGTCCCTCTCCGTTGGTATTGAGCATCGTTTGATGTCTAGCATTGAACCACTTCTGCACGAATTTTTCGTTTTATTTTCTCTTCAGATTTTTCCCCTCAGGGTCTGATGTACCCGAGTGTAGTTGCGTGTAGCTGAACGTTTTTGTGGAAAGTATGGATGATCGCAATGTTTCTCGTTTGACAGTTATTCGGACCCAATAAAGTCTTGACTATTGTGGAGGAAAGATTTATTCAATTTGCAATATTTATGCAAATTTGTTTTAAGTATGCTATCATTCAGCATGTAGATGCCTAATGGTGAATTTGTGGTTTGCCTGTATTCAGGTTACGCAGTTATCTCTTTGGCCAATGCAGTGCAAGCCTTCAAGAGAGGACCCTTGGAGACTGCCCATTTCAAGGTTCCTCTAACGCATCGTGGCTTACCAGCGGGAACATTAGAAGGGGGTATGAAGCTGACGTGGGAGCGAAACGTCGTGCGACGAGGAATGTCTATCACCAGTTCGTTGATCGGGAAAACGATGAGTTTCAAAGAGTCTATAAAGAAACGAGTGCTCCTTGTGAAGACGTGAAGGTCGACAAAGCAGATGGCCGTGTCTGCGTTTGTTGGACATAGCAACAAATTGCAGAGCATGAGGAGACCAGGAATTTTGCGAAATTGGAACCTTTGGCACCACTTTGTCTCCAACCTGTATCTTAAATCCATGAAATTCGGAATTTTCGGATCTCTGTGTCACAGTTTCGTCTGATGCTGTGTGAAGTTTGAAATCCCTGGACATATTAAAGAGGGGTACATTTGTATGATAGTTTTGCTGCTACTACTGATGCCCATTTAGTTGAGTTTCACTTTGGTGAACAAACCTAGGATAGAAAATGGTGATTCTTCTACTCATACTCGTCCCTCGATTTTTCTCGAGTGGATATTACATGCAGAAAGATATCTCTGCAAATCGGGTTGAAACACTTATGCTGTGGACTCTATTGGGGATTTGTGCAGTTGAAGCGCCTGTCCTTTCTGGCAGTGGCAGCTCGAAGAATGTTCTCCCCGTACACTATACCTGGTAGTATCGTTAGCTTTCTCACATGTAAACTACAGTAGCTCATTATATTGTTGAGAAAACACACTCATTGTCCTCCAATCAGGCTGTGAGTAAATCCTTTATTTTTCTGGTGTGGATCAACTAAAGTCCAGGTGCCTTGATTTTCGTTAATTTCTCTTTCCTTCGACTTCTGTTCCAAAGTTTTTACAGTACTTGTCTTCCATGAGGGTAATACTTCCGCAATTTTCCTCGTTGTATTTAGAATTGAGCATTATAAGCACAGGACTAAGAAGCATGGAATGGTGCAACTCAGAGGTTCAATTGCAATTCGATATTTCAGAGTTTTTTCTTTCTAAATTTCTCAGACTAGCATTAGGTCAAAGACAGTGTCGAAGAAGACGAGGAGGTATGGTAGGTTTTTCCTAAACTTACTGATTGTAAGTTGACGCCGTCATTTGCTACACCATACCACCATGGCACTATTCTGAGTTGGGGATAGAATCAGAACGCCTCGTAAAATCTTGAATAAAAGTCATTAAAAACGGGGCGATTAGATGCAAACGCAGAATCATGTACACACACGTAATAGAGATCTCGAATATATTGTCAGCTCCTCGGGTATAAGTGTCTATGCTTGAACCATGGTGAATCTTCTACTTATTACCAAAGTAAACTAACTTTAAGTAAAACTTAACTACTTGAACTAAACGTTAAGTACAACAATCATAAGAGTTGCTCGTGAGATCTTTAGCAATGTTTTTGTCTTTCCAATTGGTTTTACGTGCGCAGGACTACATGTCAAGGAAATGTATCATTTATATGATTATTTCATCCTTGTTGTAGATGATTTGGATCGCATGAACCTATCTAAACGTACCCAAACACAATTACACTTTCACAGTATCATGTCACATGTTCAGCATTACTATTCTCAACGTAGACAGACATTTACTTACGAAAACACCTTGATATTATAATATCGAATTATAGGTTTGATTTTAATGTAAAGAAGTGGTAATTTGTACATGAAATAAATAGGTAAGGTAGAATTATATTTCAGTTGTTGCCAAATCTATGAAATATTAAGATAAAATTAATGATTTAGTTTAGAGATTAGAATTCAAGTAAAAGACTCTCGGAAGTGTTTTTTATATTAAGCTTTGAAGAATCGGAAAGATATAAATTTTGAATCTAACAATGAATCTAGATCAATTTTATCTCTAATCTAATCTCTTGAGTAGATAGAACATTTATGAAGTGAAGATATCATTTTAACTTGGAAGTATTCAAAGTTGATTTCATTTCAAATTGATTAAATGATTGTTAAATTTTGAATATTTTGTGAAATTTGAGCAAGTGCTTAGATGCACCAAATAAATAATGAGAGTTTACTTATCCCACACTTTTGGCTAATTATATTTCATCCCTCTCTACGTTTAGAGGCATGTAATTGGTCAGATGTAGAGACGAAATATAGTTTTTTTGGGATAGATGGATACTATTCATAAAAATAACAACTCACAAAAAAGTGGTTATTTTGGAAGTTTTTTTTCCTTCTGCCTTCTTATCGCACGACGATATCCGTAAAATTGGTAAATTTCGACCCAAAGTTACGGGAACCCGAATGACGGAGTGAGAGGGAGGTCTCAAATTTTTGAATTCAGCAGACGATCTTCATTGGCTTCTGATAGGAGGAAGTAGCTGTTCGGTGTAGCGGTGGATGCCAACCGGCTCAAGGTACAAACGCATGATCACCACGAAGGTTCTGGTGGGCAACTCCGAGCGTAGTCGTCCCGAATTCTCGGCAGCAACAAGTGATCGATCGTTGGAGGTATGCGGCGGAGAAGTGGTCGACGGTTTTGGTTTCGTTTGTATGCGGGGAACGTGGTGAATTCTTATCGATCGCGAATGGTTTGTGCGAGTTTGTTTAGCAACTGTAGGATGCTCGAGATCAACGACGTGCGGGCCGCTCTGCTCTACTCTATTCATGCCAACCACGTCGTGTCGAGGAGCAGAACAATGGTTTCCATGGGCTGCATCGCCGTGTAATTCGTCATACTCCGTCGAGAGAGAGGCGACGTGTGGACCGCAGTGGAAGATCGGTAAGAAGGAAAGAGAGGGAGGGAGAGAAATTCGGGCTGCTGCACCGAGTCTAGGCCTCGGCAAGGTAACGTAAAAGTTAAACGGGTAATAAAATGCACTCTACCGTTACCATGTCGTTCGCGGCTTACTTATACCTTTACCTGTATTTTACCCTTTAACCGAATAATTATTTAGTCAAAATAAAAATATACTTTATACTTTAATTGGGTAATTCTTCAGTCAAAAAGAAAATACACTATACCTTCATTTTACCACTGCTTTACTTTTTAATTGGATAATTATCAGATAAAAATAAAAAATAAACTGTATTTTCATTTCATTCCATAACTTGGTAATTACCCAATATAAATAAAAAATACACAATATCCTTACTTTATCCATTAATCATATAGTTACTCAATGACAATAAAAAGTATATTTTATTTTTATTTACAAGTTAATTTGGTAACTACACGAATAAAAAGTAAAATATTTATTCCAAACACTTTCAGTTCAAGTTGGATTCAAAGATCATTTCTTCAAATTGGCTGTCAAGCATCTGCACTACGCCGTCATCAAAGACTTTCTCGTACCAATCGTCTTGTTCAATCTCCAATTGATTGACGACATCTTCAATCTCATCAGTGGGGTTGTCTTTATCAGTGGATCCAATTGCTACTGCTATTGTTCGGTTTGCCGTCACTTTGAGTATCTTTGCATACATCCATGAACGTAAGCACATGGTCATGATGAACATCGATGACGATAGGGATTGTCGAGAGCTGGTAAACTCGTGACCAGCAACGTTGTTGACACGCTCAGTTGTTGTCGACGTCGCCGGCGTCCCAAAATAATCCATGGCCATCTTATAGTGTTCAGGCAAGATTTCCATGCGGGCTGACCACCAAGACAAGATGTCGATAAAATCCTTACAATGGACGACGCCGATGGATAAGAATTGGTCTACCTCATCGAGCATCTTGCTAGCTATCTGGCTTGAACAGAGCATGAAAAAGCGAATTGGTCGGCTCTTCGGACTCAATAGTTGAATTGCAAAAACAGCAATTCAGCCGAATTGCGACATTGAAGAGTAGATCGAATGAGATCTGTCAATTTTTTTAGCTCCACAGGATCAGATGGTTTTGCTATTAGTGGATTGAGGTAGGCTGCAACTATGGCGGGTTCTAGCACTAACAATTTTTCATATTCTTCAATTTTTTCCCGCATTCCGGTTATCGTAATTCTGGGATTGATCGCTAATAGTTGTAACTCAGTCTTTTTTTGCAATGCTTCACAAGATGAGCAATGGATAGCGGCAACAAGTCAAGTGTCGGTCTCTGATATGCGGCAAGGTTGTGCATGACCTGGCGTGGCGCGCCGAAAAGTAACCACATCATTGATCATTTGTCATTGGTCATCATAGAGAGGAGGACGACAGATGTCAATTGCAAATTGCTCCATGATACTGTTAACGACAGCTCGTTTTTCAAAAGCGTCGACACCCATATGATGTGTGGAATTCCACCGTGTTGGAGAATCCTGATGTGTCGGCTCCTTGCTGTTGAAGCCGGCAACCGCAGCCTCCAAGCGATATTGTTGTCGCATCATCTTGTTGCGACGAATCTTAACAAGAGCATCGCGCAACGCCTCTGTGAAACTAAGTACTTTGATAACATCAAGTTGAATTGAATGATGATCACAACACACATGGTTAATATTGGACATCTGTTCAAAGCCAACTGATGCATTGATCAGTTGAAACAAACGTCTAACTGTAGCGATAGCGTCAGAACCATTGCTTTGATAACATCAAGTTGAATTGAATGATGATCACAACGCACATGGTTAATATTGGACATCTGTTCAAAGCCAACTGATGCATTGATCAGTTGAAACAAACGTCTAACTCTAGCGATAGCGTCAGAACCATTGTCGCTGACCACGTTCAACAATCGTGTAAGTACGCCGGTGCCCATACCCTTCGGATGTTCAAAAAGAGCAGTTCCAATACGTCAACCAACGCCGGTACTACATTCTACATCCAAGATGGTAAGTAAAATACTTTTCCGTGAGAGCGTTTTGATGTCAACGCAATGTGCAGTCACCACGTAGAAGTCCTTTAGATTTTGATTCGACCAGCCGTCAATAAATAAACAAAATGCAACATCTAATTTGGTGATGAACAATCCTAGCGTGGGCAACAAGATACGATAAAGTTTTGTAATTCGCCTTAGAATTGTTTGTGTTGACGGAGGTTCATAACCATTCGTGAGTGTGAAGACCATTTTCTTGAATCGAACACTTCTAGAGGCACGTAGAGATACAACACCGCCAATGATGTAATCTACTACAACATTTTCATACTTAGTAAGCATTTGTTTTGAAAAAGCAGGTTTGTCAATTGTGGACTTGATTAAGTACTTGAGAGACAGTTGGGAGCAAGATACTTCATTTGCTTTCAATCCATGTGCCGATTGCAAATGGAATTTTCAACTTGACGCATTGGTTTTTGGGGAGAACCATCTTTTACACAACGTACATTTGCGTTTCATCTTCTCCTTTGAGGGATCCTCAAATTGCCATTCATGAACATATATCCAAGGAAAGTTTCGCTTTGAACGTTTGCGCTTGGAGGTGCTCAAGGTCTCCACCATGATCAATTTTGCACAGGTATTAATTTTCTCTTCATTATCTCCATCAAATTTGTCAACGCTACTAAAAATCTCGTTGGCAATGTTCACATCAGTCATCTTGATTACAGATCAAGATTGACTAACATAGGTAGCTGCAAGCTTCTTGGTTGGCTGTCCACGAGGTAACTTTTGTCCAATTTCTTGAGCAACCCAAGTGTCACAAATAGTTTTTATGCTTGGTGCAAAAGAAATGCCTTCGTGAGCACAACGTGAAAAACAATGATTTAGTACAAGAAACAATATTTCAATTCAGTTCAAGGCATGCCTATACCTTTCAAGGCTTCTGGGTTGGCTGTCTTCGAGGTAACCTTTGTCCAATTTCCTGAGCAGCCCAAGTGCCACAATCAGTTTTTATGCTTGGTGCAAAAAATATACCTTTGT